TATATATAATATTAATATTCTTTATTAGTGCACTATGTCTATATATAATATTAATATTCTGTATTAGAGCTCTGTGTCTATATATAATATTAATATTCTGTATTAGTGCTCTACGTCTATATATAATATTATTATTCTGTATTAGAGCTCTATGTCTATATATAATATTAATATTCTGTATTAGAGCTCTATGTCTATATATCATATTAATATTCTGTATTAGTGCTGTATGTCTATATATAATATTAATATTCTGTATTAGAGCTCTATGTTTATATATAATATTAATACTCTGTATTAGAGCTTTATGTCTATATAGAATATTAATATTCTGTATTAGAGCTGTATGTCTATATATATTAATATTCGGTATTAGAGCTCTATATATAATATTAATATTCTGTATTAGAGCTCTATGTCTATATATATTAATATTCTGTATTAGTGCTCTATGTCTATATATAATATTAATATTCTGTATTAGAGCTCTATGTCTATATATAATATTAATACTCTGTATTAGAGCTCTATGTCTATATATATATAATATTAATATTCTGTATTAGAGCTCTATGTCTATATATATTAATACTCTGTATTAGAGCTCTATGTCTATATATAATATTATTCTGTATTAGTGCTCTATGTCTATATATAATATTAATATTCTGTATTAGTGCTCTATGTCTATATATAATATTAATATTCTGTATTAGAGCTCTATGTCTATATATAATATTAATGTTCTGTATTAGAGCTCTATGTCTATATTTAATATTAATATTCTGTATTAGAGCTGTATGTCTATATATAATATTAATATTCTGTATTAGAGCTCTATGTCTATATATATAATATTAATATTCTGTATTAGAGCTCTATGTCTATATATAATATTAGTATTCTGTATTAGAGCTCTATGTCTATATATCATATTAATATTCTGTATGAGTGCTGTATGTCTATATATAATATTAATATTCTGTATTAGAGCTCTATGTTTATATATAATATTAATACTCTGTATTAGAGCTTTATGTCTATATAGAATATTAATATTCTGTATTAGAGCTGTATGTCTATATAGAATATTAATATTCGGTATTAGAGCTCTATATCTATATATCATATTAATATTCTGTATTAGAGCTCTATGTCTATATATATAATATTAATATTCTGTATTAGAGCTCTATGTCTATGTATAATATTAATACTCTGTATTAGAGCTCTATGTCTATATATAATATTAATATTCTGTATTAGTGCTCTATGTCTATATATAATATTAATATTCTGTATTAGAGCTCTATGTCTATATATAATATTAATATTCTGTATTAGAGCTCTGTGTCTATATATATTAATATTCTGTATTAGAGCTCTATGTCTATATATATATAATTATTCTGTATTAGAGCTCTATGTCTATATATAATATTAATATTCTGTATTATAGCTATGTGTCTATATATATTAATATTCTGTATTAGTGCTCTATGTCTATATATAATATTAATATTCTGTATTAGAGCTCTGTGTCTATATATAATATTAATATTCTGTATTAGTGCTCTGTGTCTATATATAATATTGATATTGTGTATTAGAGCTCTATGTCTATATATATAATATTAATATTCTGTATTAGAGCTCTATGTCTATATATAATACAAAATATTCTGTATTAGAGCTCTGTCTATATATATAATATTAATATTCTGTATTAGAGCTCTATGTCTATATATATAATATTAATATTCTGTATTAGAGCTCTGTCTATATATAATATTAATATTCTGTATTAGAGCTCTATGTCTATATATAATATTAGTATTCTGTATTACAGCTGTATGTCTATATATCATATTAATATTCTGTATTAGTGCTGTATGTCTATATATAATATTAATATTCTCTATTAGAGCTCTATGTCTATATATAATATTAATATTCTGTATTAGTGCTCTGTGTCTATATATATTAATATTCTGTATTAGAGCTGTATGTCTATATATAATATTAATATTCTGTATTAGTGCTCTGTGTCTATATATATTAATATTCTGTATTAGAGCTGTATGTCTATATATAATATTAATATTCTGTATTAGAGCTGTATGTCTATATATAATATTAATAGTCTGTATTAGAGCTCTATGTATATATATATAATAATATTCTGTATTAGAACTCTATATATAATATTAATATTCTGTATTAGAGCTGTATGTCTATATATATATATATAATATTAATATTCTGTATTAGTGGTGTATGTCTATATATATAATATTATTCTGTATTAGAGCTCTATGTCTATATATATTATTATTCTATATTAGAGCTCTATGTCTATATATATATATAATATTAAAATTCTGTATTAGAGCTGTATGTCTATATATAACAATAAAATTCTGTATTAGAGCTGTATGTCTATATATAATATTAATATTCTGTATTAGTGCTCTATGTCTATATATAATATTAATATTCTGTATTAGAGCTCTGTGTCTATATATAATATTAATATTCTGTATAAGTGCTCTATGTCTATATATAATATTACTATTCTGTATTAGAGCTCTATGTCTATATATAATATTAATATTCCGTATTAGAGTTCTATGTCTATATATAATAATATTCTGTATTAGTGCTCTATGTCTATATATAATATTAATATTCTGTATTAGAGCTCTGTGTCTATATATAATATTATTATTCTGTATAAGTGCTCTATGTCTATATATAATATTAATATTCTGTATTAGAGCTCTGTGTCTATATATAATATTAATATTCTGTATTAGAGCTGTATGTCTATATATATATATAATATTAATATTCTGTATTAGAGCTGTATGTCTATATATAATATTAATATTCTGTATTAGTGGTGTATGTCTATATATATAAAATATTATTCTGTATTAGAGCTCTATGTCTATATATAATATTAATATTCTGTATTAGAGCTCTATGTCTATATATATTATTATTCTGTATTAGAGCTCTATGTCTATATATAATACAAAATATTCTGTATTAGAGCTCTGTCTATATATATAATATTAATATTCTGTATTAGAGCTCTATGTCTATATATATAATATTAATATTCTGTATTAGAGCTCTATGTCTATGTATAATATTAATATTCTGTATTAGAGCTGTATGTCTATATATAATATTAATATTCTGTATTAGAGCTCTGTGTCTATATATAATATTAATATTCTTTATTAGTGCACTATGTCTATATATAATATTAATATTCTGTATTAGAGCTCTGTGTCTATATATAATATTAATATTCTGTATTAGTGCTCTACGTCTATATATATTATTATTCTGTATTAGAGCTCTATGTCTATATATAATATTAATATTCTGTATTAGAGCTCTATGTCTATATATCATATTAATATTCTGTATTAGTGCTGTATGTCTATATATAATATTAATATTCTGTATTAGAGCTCTATGTTTATATATAATATTAATACTCTGTATTAGAGCTTTATGTCTATATATAATATTAATACTCTGTATGAGAGCTCTATGTCTATATATAATATTAATATTCTGTATTAGAGCTCTGTCTATATAGAATATTAATATTCTGTATTAGTGCTCTATGTCTATATATATTAATACTCTGTATTAGAGCTCTATGTCTATATATAATATTAATATTCTGTATTAGTGCTCTATGTCTATATATATTAATACTCTGTATTAGAGCTCTATGTCTATATAGAATATTAATATTCTGTATTAGTGCTCTATGTCTATATATATTAATATTCTGTATTAGAGCTCTATGTCTATATATAATATTAATATTCTGTATTAGTGCTCTATGTCTCTATATATTAATACTCTGTATTAGTGCTCTGTGTCTATATAGAATATTAATATTCTGTATTAGAGCTGTATGTCTATATATAATAATATTCTGTATTAGAGCTCTATGTCTATATATAATATTAATATTCTGTATTAGAGCTCTATGTCTATATATAATATTAATATTCTGTATTGGTAACAGACACACAGAAGTCAATGCATAAAATGCACACAGAGACAGCACGTGTGTCACGTGATACAGCGTTCCTCTGCCGTCACTTCCTGTCCCTCGGCGTCACTTCCTGTCTGCAGGTCGGAAGTGACGGAGAGCGCGGCGATCGCGCTGGAGCTGCAGCACCGGGACCCTCAGACCGGAAGGGGTGGAGTTACCGGGACACCGAGTGCGTGACGTCATTGTTTGGTTTTTTTTTTAATTTTCTTGTTGCTGAGGGGGAGAGAGGGTAACGTGGTGTGTGATTGGCAGTTATCAGGAAGGATAATATACCCTTATAGCCAGTGACCCCCTCTGTGTGTGCACACGGTGCGGGCTGGGGACTTCCTCAGGGAGGGGAACCTCTCCCCAGTCCCACCGCGTGAGAACACGGTGCCCATGGGGGAGCTGCCATTATAGCCCCTGGCAGAGTGCAGGCTGTGGGTTCAAACATGTTATCCTGCATAGTGTTCATCCACAGTGATGGGCAGGGCATGAAAAGTGCTCCCCACTGCAATATGTATAATAGCCATCACCGGGGCAGGGCATGAAAAGTGCTACCCACTGCAATATGTATGATTACAGCCATCACTGGGGCAGGGCATGAAAAGTGCTACCCACTGCAATATGTATGATTACAGCCATCACTGGGGCAGGGCATGAAAAGTGCTACCCACTGCAATATGTATGATTACAGCCATCACTGGGGCAGGGCATGAAAAGTGCTACCCACTGCAATATGTATGATTACAGCCATCACTGGGGCAGGGCATGAAAAGTGCTTCCCACTGCAATATGTATAATTACAGCCATCACTGGGGCAGGGCAGGAAAAGTGCTACTCACAGCAATATGTATAATTACAGCCATCACCGGGGCAGGGCATGAAAAGTGCTACCCACTGCAATATGTATGATTACAGCCATCACTGGGGCAGGGCATGAAAAGTGCTTCCCACTGCAATATGTATAATTACAGCCATCACTGGGGCAGGGCAGGAAAAGTGCCACTCACAGCAATATGTATAATTACAGCCATCACTGGGGCAGGGCATGAAAAGTGCTACCCACAGCAATATGTATCATTACAGCCATCACTGGGGCAGGGCATGAAAAGTGCTACCCACAGCAATATGTATCATTACAGCCATCACTGGGGCAGGGCAGGAAAAGTGCTACTCACAGCAATATGTATCATTACAGCCATCACCGGGGCAGGGCATAAAAAGTGCTACCCACTGCAATATGTATAATTACAGCCATCACCGGGGCAGGGCAAGAAAAGTGCTACCCACTGCAATATGTATCATTACAGCCATCACCGGGGCAGGGCATAAAAAGTGCTACCCACTGCAATATGTATAATTACAGCCATCACCGGGGCAGGGCAGGAAAAGTGCTACCCACTGCAATATGTATCATTACAGCCATCACCGGGGCAGGGCATGAAAAGTGCTACCCACTGCAATATGTATAATTACAGCCATCACCAGGGCAGGGCAGGAAAAGTGCTACCCACTGCAATATGTATCATTACAGCCATCACCGGGGCAGGGCATGAAAAGTGCTACCCACAGCAATATGTATAATTACAGCCATCACTGGGGCAGGGCATGAAAAGTGCTACCCACTGCAATATGTATAATTACAGCCATCACCGGGGCAGGGCATGAAAAGTGCTACCCACAGCAATATGTATAATTACAGCTATCACCGGGGCAGGGCATGAAAAGTGTTACCCACTGCAATATGTATCATTACAGCCATCACCGGGGCAGGGCATGAAAAGTGCTACCCACTGCAATATGTATGATTACAGCCATCACCGGGGCAGGGCAGGAAAAGTGCTACCCACTGCAATATGTATAATTACAGCCATCACCAGGGCAGGGCAGGAAAAGTGCTACCCACTGCAATATGTATCATTACAGCCATCACTGGGGCAGGACAGGAAAAGTGCTACCCACTGCAATATGTATAATTACAGCCATCACTGGGGCAGGGCATGAAAAGTGCTACCCACTGCAATATGTATAATTACAGCCATCATCGGGGCAGGGCATGAAAAGTGCTACCCACAGCAATATGTATAATTACAGCCATCACCGGGGCAGGGCATGAAAAGTGTTACCCACTGCAATATGTATCATTACAGCCATCACCGGGGCAGGGCATGAAAAGTGCTGCCCACTGCAATATGTATGATTACAGCCATCACCGGGGCAGGGCATGGAAAGTGCTACCCGCTGCAATATGTATAATTACTGCCATCACTGGGGCAGGGCATGAAAAGTGCTACCCACTGCAATATGTATAATTACAGCCATCACCGGGGCAGGGCATGTTAAAAGTGCTACCCACTGCAATATGTATGATTACAGCCATCACCGGGGCAGGGCATGAAAAGTGCTACCCACTGCAATATGTATAATTACAGCCATCACCGGGGCAGGGCATGAAAAGTGCTACCCACTGCACTATGTATAATTACAGCCATCACCGGGGCAGGGCATGAAAAGTGCTACCCACTGCACTATGTATAATTACAGCCATCACCGGGGCAGGGCATGAAAAGTGCTACCCACAGCAATATGTATAATTACAGCCATCACCGGGGCAGGGCATGTTAAAAGTGCTACCCACTGCAATATGTATGATTACAGCCATCACCGGGGCAGGGCATGAAAAGTGCTACCCACTGCAATATGTATAATTACAGCCATCACCGGGGCAGGGCATGAAAAGTGCTACCCACTGCACTATGTATAATTACAGCCATCACCGGGGCAGGGCATGAAAAGTGCTACCCACTGCACCATGTATAATTACAGCCATCACCGGGGCAGGGCATGAAAAGTGCTACCCACAGCAATATGTATAATTACAGCCATCACCGGGGCAGGGCATGAAAAGTGCTTCCCACTGCAATATGTATAATTACAGCCATCACCCACTGCAATATGTATGATTACAGCCATCACCGGGGTAGTGCATGAAAAGTGCTACCCACTGCAATAAGTATAATTACAGCCATCACCGGGGCAGGGCATGTTAAAAGTGTTACCCACTGCAATATGTGTGATTACAGCCATCACCGGGGCAGGGCATGTTAAAAGTGTTACCCACTGCAATATGTATAATTACCGCCATCACTGGGGCAGGGCATGAAAAGTGCTACCCACTGCAATATGTATAATTACCGCCATCACTGGGGCAGGGCATGAAAAGTGCTACCCACTGCAATATGTATAATTACAGCCATCACCGGGGCAGTCATGAAAAGTGCTACCCACTGCAATATGTATAATTACAGCCATCACTGCAGGTGGTAGATCCAGCTATCAATCAGGCAGTGCACGAAAAGTGCTACTTTTAGCAATATGTACAATTACAGTGCTGCAGGTTGCTAATACAGACATCACTGGGGCAGTGTGTGAAAAGTGCTACTCACAGCAATATGTACAATTACAATGCTGCAGGTAGCAAATACAACCAGTATTTAGGCAGTGTGTGAAAATTGCTACTCACAGCAATATTTACAATTTCAGTGCTGCGGGTAGTAAATCTAGCCATCAACCAGGAATCCTGCCCAACATACATTTTACATGTTGCAGGGAAGCTCTTTTTATGTGCTGAGAATAAGATGGGGGTTATATATATAAAAATGTTGGGGTCATTATTTTATTGGGACTGCATTGCTTCTGCTCTTCCCTATTTGCACTCAATTATTCCCTTATATGCAACAAAATATCACTGAGTCTCTTCTATTGTTTTTATACTTATATATCATTTTGGTTCACATAGTTATTGCTTCCAATGTTTAAAAACAAATATTGGTGGAAAAGTTTACAATGTCTTTGTAAAAAAAATTAAATATATATATGTATATATGTTTTTTTTTTTTTTACCACTATTAAACTGGCAGGTATTCTGAGAGAGGTAAGCTGCATTCACATTATTCTGTTTATTGTATAAACACGTTCTGTTAAATGTATAAAAATAATCCTTTAAATAGTGAATGCTCTCTTCATTTTTCTGAACAGGTTTACTTATTGGTTTTATTTTGCAAATAGAATGAATGCTAAAGTCAAGAGGTATTAAAGGGACACCATAGTCACCAAAACAACTTTAGCTTAATGAAGCAGTTTTGGTGTATAGATATTAATGCCTCAGAGGTTTCACTGATCTATTCACTGCCATTTAGGAGTTAAATCACTTTTGTTTCCTTTTATGCAGCATTAACCACACCTCCCCTCTCTGTGACTTACACAGCCTGCATGAAGGCAAATGGTTTCATTTTCAATCAGATATAACTTAGTTTAAAAGTGTTTATCTTTTGCTCTGTAAATTGAATGTTAATTACATACTGGAGGCTCCTGCAGGGTCTAGGAAGCCATTACCAGAGCAGGAGATTAGAAATTCTAAATGAGACCTATTTGAAATAAAGGAAGTGTAAACATTAGATCTCTCTTTATAGGAATTGTTTAGGAAGGCTGTGTAAGTCCCATGTAGGGAGGTGTGCCTAGGGCTACATAAACAAAGTGATTTAACTCCTAAATGGGAGAGACTATACACCAAAACTGCTTCATTAAAGGACCACAGCTTAATGAAGTGGTCTGGGTGCCTGGTCCAGCTAGGGTTAACCCTTTTCTTTTATAAACATAGCAGTTTCAGAGAAACTGCTATGTTTATTTTAGGGTCAATCCAGCCTCTAGTGGCTGTCTGTTGACAGCCGATAGAGGCGTTTGCATGCCTCTCACTGTGAAAATCACAGTGAGAAAACGCAAGCGTCCATAGGAAAGCATTATGAATGCTTTCCTATGAGACTGTCTGAATGCGCGCGCAGCTCCTGCCGCGCATGGGCATTCAGCCGAAGAGGAGGAGAGGAGGCAAAGAGGAGGAGGAGAGCTCCCCGCCCGGCGCTGGAGAAAGAGGTAAGTTTAACCCCTTCCTCTCCATCCAGCCCGGCGGGGGTGGGGGCACCCTCAGGGCACTATAGTGCCAGGAAAACGAGTATGTTTTCCTGGCACTATAGTGGTCCTTTAAGCTAAAGTTGTTTGTGATTATGGTGTCCCTTTAAAAGAAGCGTAAAATATGTACGAAATAAAAGTAACATAAAGACAGATTATTTTGACGCAGTACAGAACTAGCAGGAAAAAAAGCATGAATGAAAGTGTTAGAAACCGTTTTGTACATAGGAAAATGTTGCATGTGCACAAAACTGGAGCAAACGTAATAGTTAATGCAACAATTATATAAATTAGCATATTGTGTCTCCCAAGAACATTGTAACCTTTGTTGTAATTATCCACAACAATATTTTATGGTTGGATGACAATGACCTTTCACAAATATTTTGTTTATTACTCAAGAGCATTGTGGGCATATTATTTATTATCATTTTTTAAATTTGATTTTATTATACGAAGTACATTCAAATACATTTATGTCTCTATATCAGACCATTAGTTCATTAACAGTATGCTCTTTAAAATATTTTATACAAAATGGTCACATACCGTAAAGAGTTAGTCAATCAGGACAATTACAAAACATAATACAAACAGTGAATCGGTCAGAGCAAGAAATACTAATTTTATACCTTAAAGGACCACTCTAGGCACCCAGACCACTTCAGCTTAATGAAGTGGTCTGGGTGCCAGGTCCAGCTAGGGTTAACCCATTTTTTAATAAACATAGCAGTTTCAGAGAAACTGCTATGTTTATGAATGGGTTAAGCCTTCCCCTATTTCCTCTATTGGCTGTCTCATTGACAGCCACTAGAGGCGCTTGCGGGCTTCTCACTGTGATTTTCACAGTGAGAGCACGCCAGCGTCCATAGGAAAGCATTATGAATGCTTTCCTATGTGACCGGCTGAATGCGCGCGCAGCTCTTGCCGCGCGTGCGCATTCAGCCGACGGGGAGGAGAGAAGGAGGATTGGAGGAGGAGAGCTCCCCGCCCAGCGCTGGAAAAAGGTAAGTTTTTACCCCTTTCCCCCTTCCAGAGCCGGGCGGGAGGGGGTCCCTGAGGGTGGGGGCACCCTCAGGGCACTATAGTGCCAGGAAAACAAGTATGTTTTCCTGGCACTATAGTGGTCCTTTAATACAGTTTTGCCGATTTAAGTTTAAACCAAATAGTTTTAGGCCTTAAAGTTTGTCTAGCCACATTTCATATGTTAATCTTTTTCTAAGAACCTTTATGTGACAATTTAGGAGGTTTTTTTCCATACGCAACTGATGCTTAATTTGATTAATCAAGTGAATTTTTTGAAACAATAAATAAGATCTCCAATTCCTAGCAATTAGGTTCTTAGAAGCTATAAGACAATGAATAGCTATACATATATCCTTACCCGTTTTTAAATTTCATTTCAAATGAAGGAGAGCGGTTGCAGGACTCCAATTTAACATGATACCCGTTAACTCTTGAAAGATGTTGACTACCCAAGTCCATAATGGTTTGACCATAGGACATGCCCACCATATATGGATAAAGGATCCCCCATAATTTCCGCATCTCCAACAATTTGAATTGTATTCCCGATACATCTTTGATATCCTCAGTGGGGCAAGATACCATTTATTCAGAACCTTAAATTGACATTCAATCAAATTTAAACAGTTAATATTCTTATAGATTTGTGTTGGGGATATACACCATTCTATATCGGATATCTCCAATTCTAAATCCTTTTCCCAGAATTTCATTATTTTTACTGGATTATCATTTAAAATATCTATGAGTTGATTAGCTCTAGAGGTTACTTTACCAATAGACTTATAGCTAAAAATCTTTTGTATATGTTCAGTAATTTGTAAGGAGAATTTAATAACTTTTGTGTGTACAAAGTTTTTTTATCCTTAGATATGTAAAAATGTCTCTATTAGGAACTTGAAACTCTTTAACAATTGTTTGGAATGATACCAATTTACCATCTTGCATAATTTCTGCTATACTAGTTACATTACTATTTGGCCAGTTTCTTAATGAAAGATCCTCCATATTAAATTCTAATGCACTTAATCTACTTGTTTTTGGAATGTATTGGGTTATCCCTAGGACTTTTTTTATTTCTTGCATTGTGGGCATGTTAAAGCGTGAAAAATGGGAGTACCTCATAAATTGTAATGAGACAAAACTTGGTTAACACCCACATAGTATCAGATAACTAGTAAACATTTATACTGCTTGATGGTTGTTCTAATAGTATGATTTAAAGGGACACTATAGTCACCTGAACAACTTCAGCTTAATGAGGTTGTTCAGGTGAGAACTATAGCTCCCTGCAGCCTTTCTCATGTAAACACTGTATTTTCTGAGAAAATACAGTGTTTACATTGAAAGCTAGGAACACCTCCAGTTGCAATCACTCAGAGTGAACCAGAGGGACTTCGGAGTTGATGGATGCATAATATGTCTCCATCCACTCAGATCTGCTGTCAGCAGAGCACAGGGCAGCAATGTGCACAGCATCCTGTGATTCAGTATCTCCTCCCTCTGCATGCAGACACTGAACTTTCATCATAGAGATTCAATTCATCTCAATGAGGAGATGCTGATTGGCCTGGGCTGTGTTTGAATCTTGCTGGCTCTGCCCCTGATCTGCCTCTTTGTCACTCTCAACCAATCCCGTGGGGAAGCACTGTGATAGGATCCGGTTACCACATGTCAGCAGACTGCTTGTTTTTGAGTCTAACAGCATGCAGATTTACAGCTTCAGGCTTGAATACAGTAAGATTTTTACTATATTCATGGAGGCATGAGGGGCCCAGGGGGGCTAGATGGTAGTGTTAACACTATAGGGTCAGGAATACATGTTTGTGTTCCTGACCCTATAGTGATCCTTTTAATATAAGATCAATGCGACAACATACTTTTTTTTTCTAGGATACTGTATGTACTCTACGCTGTTCTGATTTTAAATCCTGTTGTGCCCTGCAATGTTGCATCTTTTCTAACATGTTTAATTCAAGAGGGCTATGGCCACAGTACCTATAAATAATGTTGGATCACCTCGTCCATATGCTAAACAATTTCTGAGATAGGTCTTGATCCATGTTTTGCTAATTATTTATAGTGTTTGAATGGAGACAAGCAGCTCCCAATTTTTATGTGGGGTTTAAATAGCCCATTCTGATTTCTTTTGCAGCCAGAATAATATGCAATATATACAGATGTATACATTGTCTAACACATGTTGAGTTTGCAAATTCACTCAAGTCCCTTTATTGTGCCATCACATAAGGCTATGTTTCAACCCCTGAAATTGTCTATTTATCAGGCTATTTACAGTATATGTGTATGTGGTAGTTTTTTTTAACCCTGGCTCTGGTTTGGAATAATTTCTCAAATTAATCACACCCTACAAACCCATAGGGTTATTTGCTAAAGTGTGAATTGTCAAGAGTCCTTTGAATTTAAAAATGCTATTTGCTTTTAGATTCAAGGCAATTCACTTTTTAGTGAACAACTCTGTTAATGTTCAGTTATTTTACAAAAGGACATTTTATTGACCTGGGCATTTCTAATTATCTCCAACTCTGCTATTTTGACCTAGAAATTCCCTGGTGAATTCAAGGGGTTCAGGCAATTGAAATTGAAATTACAAAATCGAGGCTAAAATATCCAAGCTGTAACTGTGGTGGATTTTAAGATTTGTTTTTTTTACCAGATGAGCTTATCTAGTGCAAGTTTAGCAATTTTTCTTTAAAGGGATATTATAGTGCCAGGAATACTAAACTGCATTCCTGGCACTATCGCACCCTATGCCTCCCACGTGCCCCTCCCAGCTGTGGTAAATAAAGGCTTAAAAACTCTCTACTTACCTGAGCCCAGCGCAGATTTCCCTACCACTGGGTCGCGTTTTGCATTTCAGATATTCAGAAAGGTGCTAGGCACCTATTTCTTTCCATGAAAATAAAATATTACGTGTATGGCCATTTTTTTGTGCTCACATTTAACAACCTATTTTGCTTTCCCTCCGCAGAGGCACTTTAGCTGCAAAATGAGTCATGGGGATATAAATCCAGCTGCTGTGCCTCTTGTTGGCAATGATGTACAGGGCGATGATCGGTGGATTTCTCAGGTAAGAGGACTAGAAAATATATAATTTTTAACTAGAATCTAAACCAGGATTTTAAAACTGGAACAGCTGTGGACTGTTCGAAATAAAATGCTTCCCATCAGCCTTAAAAAGTGGATCTCCAAGGTTCTCCCTATCTCAGCATTTTGTTTTAGAATAAAATTAAAACGTTTGACATATTTCCATATTAAAGTTCTTACACATTAAAGATGGCTGTTTCTTTAGAAAACTTAGAGTGCAAATAAAGCTTCTGCTATTTAAATTGCCTTGACGCAGAAATTGGGGGGTTAAAGAGGAACTATCGTAGTGGCTATAGTGTCAGCATGACTGCCACCCTTCCCAGTGCTTTGTAAAAGGGTTTTGACTTGATATATTGCATTAGCAATGTTCATTGTATCCAAATTAGAACTATATTCTTTGGCTGAGGTAGAAAACAGTTTAATTTACCACTAGAGCGACTGCAGAGTGTCCCTTTAAAGTGGAACTGTGACTTTGTTGACCGTGAGTTCCTTTTTCTCACATCACTTAACCCTATTGGAGTGGTGAAGTGCAGCAGAGGGAAGTTGTGGTGCTGTACCCACAAGTAGCTGGGTTGTCACCGCCATGGTTGCTCTTTACCTTGTGTTTATAGCCCCAGCATGATTAGGCTCCTTGCCACTGTGTGGGACCGAGAGCACACTAGTCAGAGTTTCACCGGACCACGGCAACTCCGCGATCTAATCAGCAGTTCCAGAAGATTTGTGGGTAGCACCCAGTCAAGTGCACTGTGCCTCAGTGACTCTCTGGCCGGTTTCTGTATGCTTTTGGGTCAGGTGACGAGAGAGCTGAGCTGGGAGGCACAAGCTGGAGGGGGGGAAATGGTAGTGTTGTAGTTCTTTTAGGAGAAGGTGGCAGCTGTGAGACAGGTTTGTCTGTCACAGAAGTGTAAGACACACTTATCTGTGCAGCAGTCTTTCCATGTTTCCCTTATGGTACACACAATGATTTGCATTGTATTCTGAGCTGTGCTGTGACAGCCTTGCATTTGGTATCAACTGGAAAATTAAAAAACGATTTTATGACCGGAGAGATTTTGAGGTGGGGATGACGATTTGACGTCACGCAGGGAGGGTAGTGTACACGCCGCCGTACAGAGCTGAGCTGGAGTCCCACACGGGAAAGATGGAGTCGCCGCCTGCCTGAGTACGCGAGTGTCTGCTCACACGATTATGCTGGCCGGACCCACACTGGCAGCTAGGAGAGACAGCTGTCGCTAAGTTTTCTAAGCCCCCTGAGGTGAAGCGTTCTTTGGTACAGCTGTGGGCAGATTGAAAGCCTATACCCAGGAAGGAGGTGAGCGCCAGAGCAGCAGTCTGGGAAACTGACAATACCAAACTAAATAAGGCATTTAAAAAGCATGGTTTAAAGGTGGGAGAAAAAAAAAAAGAAAAACTGTTTAATATCCAGTTCTGAATGAGTTAAAATTGAAGCAGTTGCAAACATTAAAGAACAGTCTCAAAAATAAAATTGGAAAAAGAAAGAAAAGAAAAGAAAAAAAAGGGGAAAAAAGGAAAAGTTAAAAAAAAAAAATAAAATAAAAAAATCTTTGTTTAACAACCAGCCCTGAATGTATTGAAGGGGAGAAGTTGTAAAAAAAATTAAAGGACAATCTCTTAAAAATTTTTAAAAAAAAGGGGGGATAAGGAAAGAAAAGAAGAGGAAAAACAGAAATATATATATATATTAAAAGGAAAAAAATATAGACATACACTGCTCAATAGTCAGCTCTGAAAGTACTGAAGTGGAGAAGCTGTAAGTGGAGAAGCCAAGCGGTGTACAAACAGAACTGAGTAAAGAAAGAGAAAGAAGGATAGCAAGAAAGGAGGAAAAGAAATAAGAAGGAAACAGCTAAAGAATTTAACACCTCCTTAAAAGTGGTAAAAACTTGAAACGTCAGATAGGGCATTTCGGCTAAACGTAGCTCCCCAATAAAAAGAGGGAAATCAGATCCGAAAAATGGCAACAAGGAAAACAGCTGATCAAAGGCAGGATTTGAAACCTCCCCCCCAAAAAAAGACCGGGAAAAAAAAAGATAAACAGGAAAGAGACTTTCACATTTTTTTTAATGCCCCAGCAGATAAAAGCACCTTAGAAATCTCTCAGATATCAACTCCAAATAAAGCTGCCTTAAGTAAGGAAACTGCAGATTTCAGCGATACTAAGGTAAAGGAACGCTCAGATGAACGACAAATCATCACCCCAGTGTACTTAAAAGAATGTTTAGAGCTACAGTTGGAACAAATAAAAATAGAAATGCAGGGGAGCTTTGCCGCTTTAAAGAAAGATATATTGGAGATCGGACAAAAAGTCAAAGTCAACAAACAAAAAATAGAAAGACTAGAATTTCTTTTACAGAAGCAAAGTGAGATTATTGAGAAACAACAAACGAAGATAAGTGATCTTGAAGAGAGAACCATAAATATAGACGACAGAGGCAGAAGAAATAACTTGAGAATAAAAAACATCCCTGAATCCATCTCACAAGATAATTTGGCAACTTACCTTTCTGAGTTTTTTAAAGCTCTTAAAATAAATATTGAGGATAAAGTGGACTTTCTTGAAAGAACACATCGACTTTACAAACCAAGAACACTTCCAGCTGACCTCCCAAGAGATACAATCATTGCTTGTCACTGCTATTCTTTTAGAGAAAAAATTCTAAAAGCGGCAAGACAAATGGAAAGAGATCAAGGCAAATTTAATGATATAAGGGTCTTCCCGGATTTGTCTTTCCAGACAAGAAAAGCGAGGAGACAATTCCTGCCAGCTACTTTGCGCTTAAGGGAAAATTATCTAAAATACAGGTGGGGCTTCCCAACCAAACTTATAGAAAGATGGGATTACGCACACATTTGATTCACTCGAAAAGGTCACAAATTGGTTGGAAAATATGGTTTAATAATGGATAGAATTGGAAAAAGTAAGGTGATATCTCCTGTTTTGTATTCAGATTGATTCATTATCATATTTAAAATGGAATAGGTTTAATATGTTAACTATTAATTCCGGGCTCCTTTGGGAAAATGCAGAAATAGCACTTTAAGAGGTCTAAATTTGATATTTAAAGAGAACACAGAGCACACAGGAAGTGTTTTTTTTTTTTTTTTTAGCGTATATAATATGGCTTGTTTGAACTAAATGTTGGATCCTGGCTACTCTTCGTTTAAGGGAAAATAATTTGAAATACCGGTGATAGATGGGCTTACGTATACACTTGTTTCACTTAAGAAGATCACAAATTGGTTGGAAAATAAGGTTTCATTTTGCATGTTTTTTTAGCTATGTAATTGAGATTTTTCTGCCTTGTGCGGAGACTGACTCTCTTATATAAATACAAGGAAATAGGTGGAGGTGTTAACCGATAACTCCTGGGGTTTTTTTGGGGGTGTGAAAAGAAGAGAAAGTAAATTAAGGGTTTAGTCTTAATGTTTATTGAATGCACTGAGTACAAAGGGTATGTTTTTTTCGAAAGTTATAAAATATGGCTTGTTTGAATATAATGATGGATTTTGGGGTAAGGTAGTAAGGGGAATACATAGGATGGAGATAAGGACAAAAATAGAGTATATTTCATGTTAACACGATAGGAGAGAGAATCACGTTATACAGTAGCAAGTTGGAGACAAATTTCTGTTGTTAGGTAAAGCACCAAGAGGAATACAAGGAAAAATAATTAATGGTAGATGTATTTATGTACCATTGGGTTAATTTTAAATTTATTAGGGTAGTGCACCCTTTTTCAAAATTGTGTAGCACAAAAATTAATGGAAAACTGATATATATTACACTCGCACAAGTTGATAAATTTGAATCACATGGGTTAAAAGAATTAGTATCATATAGAAGTAACCCCATTAATAGTTCTAATGCGAGGTTTGATGGTAAAGATGGGATGGGACTCCAAATAATTGTGAGATTATAGGGTTTTATAGGATTGTTTTACAGTCAGGGATTTCAAATTTTGAAGGGTAAAGGTTTTGGTAACTTTGCTTGTAGTGGGGAGGTTTCTGGATATTGTTGTAGCAATTAGAAGGCGAAGGAATAATTCAATAATATGGGATGGTCATAGCTCAGCTTTTTCTTTTTTCCTTATCTAGGAGTTATCCTGATGAGGACAAGATCCCAATTAGGGGTTTCTCCCCTTTGGGATCTATACCCAGGGTTTAGGACTCAGGGTTATTTGTATGAATGCCGCTCATATATGAGGAGTATGATTTGTGTGGTTAGTGTGTTAGGGGTGGGGGCTCAAATTCAGACCAGGAAGAAATTTACAAAACAAGTCCATCAAGATTATGGATAATGGATTCTGGATTTTGGAGAATTTTTTATATCTATTGGCACGAGGATGAAAAATTGTAATGCTTCAAATTATATCGTTAAATTCTCAGGGCCTAAATTCTCCTTGTAAGAGAGCGATTTTGTTTGACTATATTAAGAGAGAAAAAGCTCAAATTATCTTTTTACAAGAGACGCATTGGAGAAAAGAGGACAGTTTAAGATTTGTCCCACAAAGGTTTTCAATAGTAGTATCCGCCTCATTAGAGAAGCAGAGGAAGAGGGATGGCTATTCTGATAAATGACGATATAGATGCTAAAATCATTTATCAAGAAACAGATGAGGAAGCCAGAGTTATAATCAAAATTCAAACAGAAATTTATACTCTAGTAAATGTTTATGCACCTAATAATCCTTCCAATAAGTATTTCTGTGATCTTTTAGATAAAGTTGAAAAAATAAAACAGGGTAAACTACTTCTAACGGGGGATTTCAACCAAATTCTGGATGCTAGTTTAGACAGAAAAACATTAAATACTGCTGGGCCAAATAAAGGTGCAATTTCACAGGCAGTTCAATTTCAAAAGACACTCAGGAAATATGGATTAATGGATATATGGCGTGTGTTTCATCCAATGGAGAGGGATTTTACATGTTTCTCCAGAACCTATTTTTCATATTCAAAATTGACTTATTCTTGGGTAATGATGGCTTGGCCAATTGTACTAAAAAAGTTCTTATAGTTGGAGTCTCATGGTCCGACCATAATGCTATAAATTTGGAGTTGGACATAGAGAACAATAGCGCTAGAAGAACAAACTGGAGATTAAATGATAACATCCTTTCTAGAAAAGAAAATAGATAATATATTGAGGAGATGACAGGTTTTTTCAGGAAAATGAGGGTGGAGAAGTCTCACTCCCAGTAGTATGGAACGTATATAAATGTGTTACAAGAGGCTATCTAATTAAATTGGGTACCATTGATAAAAAACAAGAAGGGGAAATCCCTGATGGATCTCAATGTTGATTATTATAAATTATCTAATGAAAATAAAGCCTCACCAACCCAGGAGATAAGTACAAAAATGTTATTAATGCAAAATAGTATAAATGAATTATTATTTGAGGAGAAAAATAGAAATTTACAATCCTTAAAGATAAATTGGTACTATAAGAGTAACAGGGCAGATAGGTTGCTCACAAATAAATTGAAAAATAAAAAAACAACTGAGGAGGATTCATAAAATTGAGCCCATAGAAAATTGGGTCAGCCTTTAATGACTATTATAGCCGATTTATATAACTTAGAATCTGTAGGTCAACAACTTCCCTCATCAAAATATTTTAAAAACAAAAAAAATGCCAAAAATAATTAGAGAACAACTTATGAAAATAAATAAACCGATAATTTCTGATGACATTAAAGTAGCAATAAATAAGTTACAGATCAACAAAGCCCCTGGCCCTGACGGTTACTCAAATAAATTCTATAAGATATTCAGAGATACTCTTTCAGTGCGTCTTGCCAGGATATTTAATGAGATAGTGGTAAATTGTACATTTCCTAAAGAGATGCTTCAAGCAAATATTGTCCCAATCTTGAAGCCAGACAAAGATCCAGCTAAATTGGCGAATTACCACCCTATATCTCTCCTCAAAGGAGATGTAAAGATCTATGCCTCGATCATAGCAGACCTCTTAAAAATCTGTATTCCCGCCCTGATACACCAGGACCAGGCCGGATTCATTCCTGCCAGAGCAGCTTCAGGTGGTCTCAGAAGGATATTGGATGTTCATGATGCTGCATCGAGGAAGAATGTTTCCCTTCTGACCCTGTCATTGGATGCTGAGAAAGCTTTTGACAGGGTCAGATGGGATTTTCTGGGGAATGCATTGAAGTCATATGGCATAGTGGGGGCAGTCTATGACACCATTATGGCGTTATATACTATACCTTCAGCAAGGACGGTAGGTCCAGGAATAGATGCAGACTGGTTTAATATCACAAATTGCACTAGGCAGGGCTGCCCCCTGTCCCCTTTGCTTTATGTTTAAACCATCGAGTCCCTGGCGGAAGATATAAGGCAAAATGGGAAGATTAAGGGACTCAGGTTAAATACAGTAGAACACAAGATCAATTTATATGCTGTCGACGTCATGCTTATGTTGCAGAATCCTAGATCCTCGCTGCCGGAATTGATAAAGATACTAGGTCAGTATAGTGAATACTCAAATTATAAATTAAATACTAATAAGAATACAATAATGACAGCTAATATATCTAGTGAAGATATGCATTTTATTAAAATATCTTATGATTTTGTCTGGGCAAAGGACAATACTATGTTCCTGGGTATTAAAATACCAAGAAATATAAAAAAAGTGATAGAGGTTAATTTTCTCCCCCTCATAAAATATACAAATAAGACCTTAAAAGAATGGGCTAGTAGGGAGATTTCCTGGATAGGGCGTATAAACACTATTCGCTCATACATTCTGCCGACATGGAATTATCTTTTTAGAATGCTACCAATACAAGTCCCAATTCCCTGGTTAAAAATGATGCACTCAGCTTTCTCTAAATTCATTTGGAAGGGAAAAAAAACACAGAATAAGTTTACATTTGTTATCTAAGAAAAAAAAAATATGGGGGCTTGCTGCCCCAAATATAATAGAATATCACAATGCCTGTATGTTGGCACATGCTGTTAATACCTTAAGTACAGATCAAAAAGATCAAGCCTGGTATCAAATAGAGAAATCATTAGTAGAGACAGACAGTCTGTCCGCCCTATTTTGGGCAACAAGAAAGGAGAAAAATAAGAGCAAACCAGTATGTCCAGGAAATTCGATTATTATTGACAGTATTTTGAGACACTGGAATAAAATTAAGAAAGACTTTAAAATAGAATACAGACTGTTTCCATTCTTACCCATAGAGGTGATTAAGGGGAATATTGAGGATATTAATATCAGCGGATGGTCACGGAAGGGAATTAAGAATATTCAAGAGATTATAGATAGCAAGGAAATCAAGCCATTCAAGCAGCTACAAATAGAGTTCGGGATTGATAACAAGGAGATATTTACATATTTAAGAATCAAGTTTTATTTGGCGAAATTCTTGAATTTCCGGGTTAATAAAAACTCAAGTAATCTTAAAAAGATTCTGGAAACCCATAGAATTAAAGGCCATGTTACTAGATGTTACGAGTTCTTAAAGGACTCTCAGAAGTCCTATGTCTGGAAATCTAAGATCAAGTGGGAAAAAGATCTACGTATTGAAATTACTGAGCAAGATATGATAAGTGCGATAGTTAAGGTAAATAAATCGGTACATTGTCTGAATATAGTAGAAAATTTTTATAAACTCATAAACAAATGGTATATGGTCCCAGGAAAATTAGCTAAAATTTATAAAGATCAGAATCATGAATGTTGGAGATGTGATGATGGGAAAGGAGATTATCTCCATGTATGGTGGCAATGTAAATCTTTAAGCAATACACAGAAGAATATCTATCAACAGATTTATAATACCTGCCAGATATATACCTTTCACACCACAGAGCTTTTTGTTACATCAGGGATGACCCTCAATGCCTATTGATAATAATACACATTTTAATGGCAGCTAAGATAGTTCTAGCTAGGCATTGGAAAAGCAATAAAGTGTTAGAGTGGGCTGAAATTAAAAAACAAGTAACATACCAATGTAAAATGGAAATTGGAATAATTCAAGGAAACTCTGTTGGTTTCAGGAAAATTCGTAGGTGGAAAAATATAGTTGACAAGTTTATGGCTAGTAATGAAGGTTTATAATATAGAAGGTTTGTGATGCCCCATGTCCATGTACAGCACTGCCGTGGGCCGCTGGTAGCCGATCCTTCAGGAGATGAAAAGAACCAACAGGAATATCATGGTGGCTTTGGCCATGAAAGACAGGTTCAGATAAATATAACTCACCTTTCCCTGCATCCTGTAGTTACCGGACACCCAGAGGGACAGTCACCGCTGGGAGACGGTGCAAATTAATACTTTAGTTTTATTTCCTTAACTTAGTGCTTAATTGATTCCAGATTCCTAATTTATTGAAGTAATTTGAATCAATATAATTAAATCTGTGATTAACACCTATTTTTGTCATCCAAACCATGGCAAGGGTTATAAGAATGAAGAATTTATAAATTAGTATAAATAGAGCCATTTGCACCATGTCAAGGCAGACCTTTTCCTGTCCTTCACAGCAGTTAGGAATGAGCCATGGTTTTATTTTTTGCTCATTAGGCCAAACCAAAAGTTTTTGCTCACCAACCAGAGTTTAGCCTCTTTTTCCCCCTGAAGACTCAGGAAACCGCACATACAAGAGCTCCCTGTTGCTTCCCCTCCCGAGCAGATGAGTTTATCTGTGCATAATGACCTCTTTCCTTTCTACAGCACTACAGGTTTCTCCTGGACTGCAAAGATAAAGAACCAGATGTACTTTTTGTAGGCGATTCAATGGTGCAACTCCTCCAACAATATGAGGTAAGTGAGTCAGGAAAAACACACTGCCTGGTCTGGAGTCTTTCCCATTACACAGGGAGTAGGTTAAAGCTGATCTGTCATATTTTTTTAGTATTTTAGAAAGATATAATCTTTATGGAATACTGATTTAAGACTGCTTTGGAAATTCACTGAAATTCCAACTGAATCCAAAGATATCATAAAACAAAGTAGAGACTACATTGCATTATAGTAAATTGGCAGATATCCTTTAACTGAAATAGGTATTTTGAACAAGGAGCAGGGTAAACACTGCTGTTCGGGCACTAAAAAAAAAAAAGTACCATATTTTTCCATGTATAAAACTACCCCTATTTTTTCAGCCCAAAGTTAAGAAATCAACATTTTTAAAAACCATTTTAAATTCTTTATTTTTCTCATACTCACTGATGCGAGGAAACAACATTTTGCAGATGCTGTCAATGTATAAAACATAAAAGAAAATATAGACACAGTTCTCAGCAACAATGGTGCCAGTGAGCTGAGGGTTTTATGGGTGTAAAGGCGGTAAAGTATTTGCCTTTTTAAATTGACCAACTAGTGAGGCATGATGGTATGTGTAGCCAAGCTTACAGTGTGCGTTGAACTCGGGGCTTGTGAGTATGGTCATGCTCCTCGCTGTATCGTGGCGTGGCCAGCTAGCCGGCGATGTATACATTGTTTGGTGGGGGTGATTTTAGGCGAGTGAGTTCTTGAGTGGTGTCCAATGTCCCTTGTGTGACAGGTATGGCCTCTTTTAGACATTAGGCGCTAAATATTTGGGACTGCCATCTCTAAGGTTTTACTCCTCTTTGCCTCCGGGGAATGTTGTGTCTACGGTGAGTAGCTATGTGAGGTGGTTAGAGGCGGGGGGAGAGATGTTGGCTACTAAGCCAACCCAACTGAGTTCAAAAATGCATTAAAGTGAGATAAACATAATATGCATGATAAAGGAACAGGTATAACAACCAATAAACAAACTTTTTACGGTGGGTTATCTATAGTCCTGCATTGTGAGGTTGGCAGGGTGAGACAGTCTGTGGTAAGCCTCAGGTAGAAGCTGCAGTGTAGGCAGTTGATTTCGCCCTCTGGGGAACAAATGGAGTGATCTTGGTGGGGTCCCATCTGTGGGTCCGCTTGGTCCTTCCCCTGTCCGGGGGGGTGCAGAGAGTCTCATGTGAGGCTGAGGGTCTCCAGGAGAGCAGTTGCATCAGACATCTCTCTAATTGGGTAGGTGGATTCTCCATGAGTGACCAGGAGAGTGCAGGGTGACCGCCAGGTATACCTGATGTTGCGTTCTCAGAGAAGGGAGGTGAGTGGTTGAAACGATCTTCTCCATAGCATTTTGCTCCCTGAGACATCCGCATGAAATGAGAGTCCCATGTTTTCGAATGTATATAGGAAAGTCTCCTTTCAGGGCAGCTATTACCGCCAACATATCTTTGATGCTTTGAAAGCGTATCACCAAGTCTCTTGGGGCCGCCGCAGGAGCCTTTCTCTGTTTAGGGGTGCAGAATACGCCATCCAGGGTAACATTCTTGGCTTGTTTGTGTCAGGACCTCAGCGGGCTGCTCGCCCACGGCGTCGCAGGTGGTGGCTTCTGCTAGCCGCGCACCGCCCGCAGTGTTTTCACCAGTCTCCTTTCTGCGAGCGGCGGCTTCGAGTGACCTCGCAGCAACTTCTCTTTGCTGCCCACCGCCAGTGGCGGTATCTGACATCTGTCCCCCACCCGTGGCCATTTTCTTACGCTGCAGGCAGGGTGTCTGACGCTGCATGCTTGCATGCAGCATATTTAAATGGCCGCCTGAGTCAGTCACCTGTCTTGGCGCACATTAGTGAGGTCACAGTTCTTAATGAAAGAACTAAGTACCCCCCATTTGTCATAATTAACTCTGATTGGAAGTTAGCCATTCAGAGTTGCACTAAGCATATATAAACTTACCTTTCCCATGTCTCCTTGCCCTGTTGTGGTATTCTGATAGCCCAATAGTGTGTATACTCTGTCCATTTGTCTGATTATCTGGTTACCGAATTTTGGCTTGCCTTACCGTTTATCCTGCTTTCTCTGACCCTTGACCTCGGCTTGTATTATCGATTATTCTGTTTCTCTGGTTCCCTCTGACTTTGGCTTGTATTCTGACTTCTCTCTGTGTGTATAGCCCGGCCACTGTAAGGACCGGTATTGCTATTCTTGTGTCTGTGTTCTGTCAGTGTTTCTGGTTCTGGAGTGCGTGACAGTTTGGGTGTTAGCAGTGCCACCAGCAGGCGCCTCACCAGATGTGGGAGTTTTGCTGCTGGTATTTCTTCAGGGGATGCCCCTTATCTTGAAGTTCTTGAGCCACCTCTGATCTTCCAAAGTGGCAAACCTCTGCTCGGTCAGCACTTGCTGCCGCTGTAGGCTTTTTACTAAGTACTCCAGTGCGGCTATTCTCCGCGTCTGACCATCTGAAGAGTGCTCAGCCTGCCCACTAGGCCCGTAATGTCTGCACGGAGAGAGGCCACATCAGCTTGGATGGTCTTTTGGAGGCTTGTGAGTAGGTCCTTCAGTGCTACCATTGTGACCGCCTGGGAGTCTGGACTCCGTCGATTCCGAGGTGTTGGTGTCTGCGCCGGTAAGTCAGCAGTCTCCTCATAAAGCGGGTCTTCGTCCGAGGATTCTGAACATTCCTCAAGGTAGTCGGCCATCTTAGACCTAGATGCTTCGTGGACCTGTTGGAGCATATCTTCGATCTGAGGCTTGTCGGATTTTTGTTTTTTAGTTTTCCTGCCCATGTTTGCCAGGTCTGCAATACTGTCTGGTTCAGGGCAGTAGATTTGTTTATTATCGATTTTTATCGGTAGTTAATGCCGGAGCTCATGTAGTGTGCCACCGTCCGCTGCTGACGCTAGGCTCAAGAAATCAATATTTTAAACATCAAATAGATCAACTTTGATCTTTTAGAAATGACTTCTGAGGAGAACAACACACTTCTGATTCTCATGCCTCCCCTGTGCTAAGGTGCTCTGTGAAGTTTTTTGTAAATCTGGTTTTAGTGAAACATTTATTCAGTATAACATGACACGGAGAGTATGCATATACTTCAAGAAAACACATATGCGGATTATAACGATCTGTGTTGCGGTATAAGGCCTCCCTAGTTTTTTAGGCAAGGATAAGGAGCGTATGGTATCTCGAGAGTAGCTAGCTAAATTAAAGCACTACCGGAGTGATTGAGGTTTAGATGAGAGAAGTTTGTGTTTTTTATCAGGTAGGTTGGAAGAAAAGAAGAGGGAGAGATAAGATAGAAGGATAGCAAAGGAAAGTAGTTACACGTAAAGAACGTTGAGAAGTGAGTAGAAAGAATTAAATTATGGTAGACCCGGGGGTTGGAGGTGCATTGGTATGTCGTAATTTATTCGCCTGCAGGTTCCGCTCCTGGCCCCCCTTCCCCGCTCCGCTGTTCAGTGGCACCGCCGACTCCCCCCTTCGTATCCTGCCTGCTATATATGTGAACCATGGCTGCCAGCATTCTGCATGTTTATCTCCTGAACCTCACAGTGCTGCCTGAGTTGCTTCCCTGGTGGGAGCAGTCGTTTGTTTCCAAGGGGTGGGAATCAGGGCTTTAGCTGCGTTGAGAAGATGTCTTGTTATATATTTTTTTTATAGGTTGAGATTGGTGCATATGTGATCTGTAGCAGTGCCAGATCCGCGGTTAGGTGTTGTGGTTCACCAAAGATGTTGGACATGGTTTCTCGCACCATGTCCCAGAAAGGAACAATTTGGGGGCAGCTCCACCAGATATGTGTCATCATCCCCTCATTCTGTCAGCACCACCAGCAAAGAGGTGACGTTGCAGGGAAAATTCTGTGTAAGAGACTCGGTGTGCGGTACCAGTTGGACAATAGCTTGTAGTTTGTTTCTTGGTATTTGGAATTGATCGAGCTCTTGTGATGCAGAATGAGAACTTTTTTTCACTGTGCTTCCTTAACCCCTTAAGGACCAAACTTCTGGAATAAAAGGGAATCATGACATGTCACACATGTCATGTGCCTTAAGGGGTTAAACTGTGTGACCAGTAAACCTTCGCATCGCCTCTTAAATGTTGTCATCATGGGTTTATCTTCTGTCAAGTGTAGTTGGTATAGTACGGAAATGGCTTTGTTCGCAGGTGCTTTCATACCACGTTGGGGCTTGGTGGAGTGTGAGCCTGTTGGGTATGTTTTTGTAATAGTGTTGTAGTTGGGCATGGCAAAATTTAATTAGGGGGGTCTGGTTCTCCTCCCCCATAATTTCTCCTAGTTTCTTCACATCTCGGTGGTAGGACTCCTCCCAAGTGTTTATTGTGCTGAATAGGTATCATTGGCCTCAGTGAGGGGGAAATATGTTCTGTCTCACGTAGTTCTCTCCATGTCCTGAGGGTGTGGGTGACTAGGGATTCAGCTGCTGTCCTTTCCGTAGCCTCAGATTTCCCTGACCGGACTGCTGAATGTAAGGATTCTTTCACTCGCCCTCACCCCCCAATCTAGGGTAGGCCACTGCTGGTGAGGGCGAGCTGCATGCCAGTCCAATATCCTTTGCAGGGTTGCTGCCTGGTGGTATTTTTTAAAGTCTGGGACCGCCACGCCCCCACATTGCCGTGGTAGGCATAGTATTTTGTGACAGAGGCGTGACCTCTCGCCTCGCCATACATAGCGGATCACCGCTGTTTTTAAAGAGGAGAAGAATGATTTGGGTGGCGAGATAGACACAGTCTGAAAGAGGTAGAGAAGTCGGGGCAGTATGTTTATTTTGAGGACTGCTATGCGCCCTAGCCATAAAATCTGTTGGTATGTCCAACGCTTCAGATCATCTAACATCTGATGTAGTAAGGGCTCATAATTAGAGTTATATAGACCGGTCTGTTTTTTTGTCGCTCATGTGCCTAGGTATCTCATTTTCTGCGTGCACCAACGGAATAAGAAGTGTGGTCGGAGGTTTGCGAGTTCCGATTCCGGGATGGATATATTCAATACCTTGCATTTCGTGAGATTGAGTTTGATGCCCGCTATGTCGCTATATTCGTCGAATTCCCTTATCAGGCATGGTAGGGTGATCCTTGGATTGTTGATGAAAAAGAGGAGGTCGTCTACATAGGCTGCTACCTTATGCTCTGTGGCCTTCCATTGTAAGCCAGAAATGTCACATTTTTTTCCTATCGTCATAAGGAATGGTTCAAGGGAGATAGCGAATAACAGGGGCGATAGCAGACACCCCTGTCTTGTGCCATTAAAGGGACACTATAGTCACCAAAACAACTTTAGCTTAATGAAGCAGTATTGGTGTATATAACATGCCCCTGCAGCCTCAATGCTCAATTCTCTGCCGTTTACGAGTTAAATCACTTTGTTTATAAACCCTAGTCACACCTCCCTGCATGTGACTTGCACAGCCTTCCTAAACACTTCTTGTAAAGAGTCATTAAAGTTTATCCTTTCTTTATTGCAAGTTCTGTTTAATTTAGATGTTCTTAACCCCTGCTATGTTAGTAGCTTGCTAGTCCCTTCAAAAGTCTCCTGTATGTGATTGAAGTTCAATTTACAGAGCAGGAGATAAGATTATTTAAGGTAAATTACATCTTATTAAAAGTGAAACCAGTTTTTTTTTCATGCAGGCTCTGTCAATCATAGCCAGGGGAGGTTTGGCTAGGGCTGCATAAACAGAAACAAAGTGATTTAACTCCTAAATTGCAGTGAATTGAGCAGTAAAACCTGAGAGGCATGATCTACACCCTAAAACTGCATCATTAAAGGACCGTTTTCCTGGCACTATAGTGCCCTCAGGGCCCCCTCCCGCCAGGCTCTGGGGGGTGAAAGGGGTTAAATTTACCTCTTTTTCCGGGCGGGGGACTCTCCTCCTCCTTTCCCCGTCATCGGCTGAATGCGCATGCGCGCATTCAGCCAGTCCATAGGAAAGCATTCACAATGCTTTCCTATGGACACTGGCGTCTTCTCACTGTGAAAATCACAGTGAGAAGCCGGAAACTCCTCTAGCGGCTGTCAATGAGACAGCCACTAGAGCTGGATTAACTATTATAAACATAGCAGTTTCTCTGAAACTGCTATGTTTATAGAAGAAAGGGTTAATCCTAGCTGGACCTGGCACCCAGACCACTTCATTAAGCTGAAGTGGTCTGGGTGCCTATAGTGGTCCTTTAAGCTAAAGTTGTTTAGGTGACTATAGTGTTCCTTTAAGTATCGTAAAACTAGGTGTTAGAGTTCCGTTGACTCATACTCTAGTGGTGGGACAACTGTATAAAGCTGCAATCCAGCTCCTTAGCTTCCCTCCGAAGCCCATCACAGATAAAGTTGCAAACATGAAGGCCCAATTGACCCGGTCAAATGCCTCCTTTGCGTCGGTTGACAGTAGTAGCATGCATTTGTTAATGTGACATGCGAGATGTTGTAGGGTGTGAAGCCAGAGGGTGCTATCTCTGGCTTCTCTTCCAGGGATAAAACCTGTTTGATCCGGGTATATTAGGTCAGGGAGATATGTTTGCACCCTGGTCGCCAGGACTTTTGTGAGCAATTTGATGTCAACATTTAGAAACGAGATTGGGCGGTAGCTGCCACAGGATTTGAGGTCCTTATCAGGTTGCAGAGCACGGTGATCGTAGCTGCTAGAGATTTGGCATGGAGTGTCCCCCGTCTTCTAACTTGTTCTGGGCGGTCTTCAGTCTGGGTGTGAGGATGTGTGTGAAGGTCTTGTAGTATCCTATTGATAGTCCATCTGGGTTTGCGGCCTTACCTGCCTTAGCAGCTTTGATTGCAGCCAGAAGCTCCTTTTTCCCTATGGGAGCGTCAAGCTTGTCTGCCACATCTCTGGGGATCCCACCGGGTGAATTGGCCTCCGTGTATTTCTGGATTTTGGATGGGGGGAAGGCTACAGCTTCCGGTGCATTGTGCATGGAAAGGTCCGTGGTTATGTTTGACCCGGGTCCAGGAGAAGGCCGCAGCGGTGCTGAGCCATGCCAATGGTGAAGTCCGTGTTTATGGTTGCCCCGTCTCCAGGGGTCAGTGGGGTCAGAAGGCATGGAGGCTCTGGGTGTGAGGCCCGGTAAGACTGGCAGAGATGGCGACCAGTACCCATAACCTACCCAAAGCAGTATTAGGTTACCAGCCCTCTTTGGGGAATATGAGATTTTGGTGGGGGGGGAGAGAAAAAGGAGGGGGGGAGGTGACCACATGTGACCAGGGTGTAGAGGCGAAATGGGGGGGAAGCCACAGGGGTGACCCGTGTGGCTGTCCTTGCCTCCAACAAAACGAGGTGGGTGCTGGGGAGCTATGGGACCAGGCCTAACTCCCTCCCAAGGGACGTGTACCCAGTGTCCAGGGGATCCCATGCGAGCTGCGCATGTTGGGGGGGTGTACAAATGGATTTGAGGTTACCTTAACACGCAGCCGGGGCTCTCCTGGGGGGATGCCGTGTTCACTCCCTCGGGTGTCCTGGGTCCGGGAGCCATCGGGGCTCTCTGCGGTCGGGGCTTCTGGTCTAAGGGTCTCAACCATGAGGCGGCAGCTGTTGTCTATCGAGAAATCCCGGTACTTCCTCTGGCCACCGTAGGTTGATCCATTTATTTTGATGCTGGGCCAACAGGCAGAATGGGAATCCCCTGCAGTATTGGATCCTGCGTTCTTGGAGCACAGCGGTCACTGGTTTCAGCGCTCGTCTGGCATCCAAGGTAAGTGGAGAGAGGTCTTTGTAGATGGCCACCAGGGCACCCTTGAACTCCCATATATTCCTGTTGCGAGCCTTGAGCAGAATTGTTTCCTTCTGTTTGAAGGAACTTAAGCAGCAAATTATATCTCTGGGAGTGGGATTATCTGACCTCGGACATAGGGCACGGTGGGCCCTCACAAAATCCTATGCTGTTGGTGAATCTTCCCCCACAATGAAGTGGAATAGTGAGGTAAATAGGAGCTTCACATCTTCGGGTAGGCCTGGTACCCTCAGATTGCATCTGCGGTTGTCTAACTCTTCAATTTTGCTGTGCATTTCCAGCAGTATGGTGCCCTGCCTCACTATTGCCTGATCAGAGGCTGCAACCCAGGTGGGGAGGTCTCGAGTAATTTACTCCTGGACTTGTAGTTGTGTCCCTTGTTTGGAATCCGAAGTCACATGGCCTGCTCCAGCCGGGGTATGTAGAAACTCATCCATGGGACCTGTTAGAGGGCCGGAATGCAGGTTCCTGGGGGTCTTGGGGTTATCAGTGCGGCGTGTTCTCCCCATTAGCGGTGGAAAGGGTGGAAAATGCGTTGAAAACTTGCTTGTTTAGGGCTTTGGCGAGCGGAGCTCTCTGTTTATGCTGCCTTTCTCGTCGGAGCCCAAGCCGCGCCCCTCCTACTGTGAAGTTATTGACTCTATAGTGCATGCTGGGAGACTACAGCTTCCACAATACAGCAGGTGGTGTGAGGGCATGCTGGGACATCACAGTAGTATTCCCTCTGCTTGCTGATCCTCATTTCCTCCCCCATAAATACAAATCATAAAGCAAGACCTACCTGAGGTGGAGCAAACCTTAATATGGCTGCTCCTTTTATGGTGTGGCATGTCTCTGGAGCTCCGTTTTTGGTGCTGATGTCTGCTGCAACTCCCATGCATATAGGGTCCTCTTCCTCCTTGCCACAGCATTTAGAAGTGGATCGTGGGAGGAAGGCCAAGTATGTGTGGGCTGTGGAACACTGAAATGCGGCAGGTGGCATCTTAACTTAGGCCCGAGCAAGTGTTTTTTTAACCCCTGCAGTCATATTCCATTTTAGTCTAAAAGAATTTAGAAAAAACATAGTCTTATACATGAAAAAATACAGTATATAAAAAGATATCAGTGAGGAACGTGAGCTACGTAATAATCAAATATACCAGTACATTTTCTTTACACAGTTGAAAGGGTAATTGTTTTGTTAAGAGTATTGTATGTTGATATTGTAAATTACTGATCAGTTCATATGATATGTGTGAAGGTGTGCATTAAGATTTATCTTTACAGGTCTTATCGGAGAATATTCAATCTCCTACTATGCTTTGTAGGTGCAATAAATTATATAGACTATGAAAGTACAATTGCAGAGAGGGTCAGGCTTTGTGATGAGATGAACAGAAGGAGCTCTCTTTATAACATATTCAAAAGGGCCATAGCTACACTGAGGGCTGAGACTGTCCAATATCACTAATACAAGTGTTCAAATCCCTGTTTATACAGTGTGCTGCTTTTAGAGAACATTCTTTCTAATACAGAACCAGAAATTATACAGACCCCAAAGTAAGATAACTTTAACCCCAAAGTAAGATAAGTCTTTAACATCATATTTTTTGTCTCACTAGCAAGTGAATTTGTTCTTACCTTACTTTCTTGATAGATTTGGCAGGAGCTTTTTTCTCCCCTCCATGCACTGAATTTCGGTATTGGAGGAGATACTACATGCAATGTCCTGTGGAGACTTCAAAATGGAGAGCTGGAAAATATTAAACCTAAGGTAGGTAACTTGCTAAAAGGAATACTGTAGGGTCAGGAACACAAACCCTGTAGTGTTAAAACCACCACTTAGGTGGCTTGCTCTCTCTTAGTCCCCTTAAAAGGTAATACAATTTACCTTATTTCCAGCGTCGTGCAGGTCTGCCGGTATTGACCTCACCCCAATCTGCCTCCTTTCTGACATCATCAGAATTTATGATTTCAGCCAATCCAAAGTGCATTACTCAGGAGAGCTAAGAGAATCTCCTGCTAGAAGGAGATGTGGGGAGTGGTACCAGTTGGGCAAAGGTTAGCTGTCAAAGGATTCTAAATCTGTTTGGCTGCTTAGATTGGGGGAGGTGGGCTGCACCAGGGAATTATTGGTACCATAAGCACTGCACTGCTAATGTAATGGTTAATGTTTGCAGGTCATAGTCTTATGGATTGGGACCAATAATCACGGGAACACAGTGGAAGAAGTGGCTGGAGGTGTGATGGCCATCGTAAAAGTAGTCAACTCTCTGCAGCCACAGGCAAAAGTCATCGTCATGGTAAGTAGTTCTGTTTTTGAGCATGATGAAATCTACACACAGGGCAAGCGATAGGAGTATAATCTTGAACATAACCGAGCAGTTTTGTCCATTTTAGTAGCTTGTTTAAATTGACAAGCTATTTTGATTAACATACTAATGCTTGTGTTAGAATATGCATAAAGCTTATAAAAGTGATTCAAAAATAGATATAATGTCCCATAATCAAAAATATATCTGGTTCCTAGTCTTTAAAATCAATTCTTCTTTTATTGAAGTAGCCTAATATCGTCACATAATGCAAACAGTATAGGGGTTTAAAGACTCACATACAAAACATGAAGGAACTATGTGAACTGGAAATCAGAGCGTTTTGTATTAAGACATACTTCCTCTGAATCTTGATCTTCAGGAGGTATGTTTTAATATAAAATGTGTTTATTTTCAATTCTTGAAGTTCCTTCGTATTCTGTATGTGAATCTTTAAACCACTATACTGTTTGCATTGTGTGACTATATAGAAAAATTCTCACCCATACTTACCGTAACTTTATTTTTCTGGCCATTTCCATGCACTGACCATCACTAACTGGAATTCCCAAGCCAGAAGGGAGGGACTGCAAATATTAGGTGTATTCGAATGGTTATTAAGAGGAAATAGAGGATAGAACACTGGACTCAAATTTAGTACCTTTATCCTTAGGCATGTCTAGGCAGTTATTCCTTATGAAAGTAGAATATGAAGCCCAGGTAGCAGCCCTACAACTTTTTCCCATATAAACAGATGCCAAGATGTCACCATTGCCAAGGTAGAGTGACGTCTGATGAATGACGTAATCTCCCATCCTTATCCAGAGAGGGATAAGAGGGTATAGGCAACATACTAGAATCAATGATATTGATTCCCCCCAGGACCACCCGGCCCGTGACAACCTCCATGATTGTCACCCCCTGATGGCTGCCCTAGTAAAACCATATGTAGATCACCTGAAACAAAACAGACATTAAATACTATAAAGTAAGTGACATCATTCTAACAATCTGAAATTAGTCTGCACTTTGAATATTCAAATGGTAAAATCCTGATACACCTACACAGACTTTGTCCAAAATTCTAGTCATGTAGGACTTACCTTTGAATGCATAATCTAGGACCATTTCCCTGTCCCTTTTTAGCCTGTCTTATCTAACCTGTTTTATAGAAGGCCAAGATGGACCTAGACAAATATTGTCCACAGATAAAGTACCATAATATGTCCTCTGGGCCCACTTTCCAAGTATCCCATAGCATTAAGCCACACTGTAATTGAAAGCCCAGAGATTGTGCGTTTAGATATGTTTCTCATCCTGACATGTGGATTAGTTGAACAGGAGACTTGAATTATTTTGGAATTTGTAATAAATAGTAAACGCCCTAAATCTGCTAAGAGGATTTGATAAAAGAGGTGCATTGAAGAAGGGCTTGCTCTGCCTATGCGATATATCCTATCACTTCCTATTAGGGGAAAAAAAATCACTTCCTTTAATTATAGTTACTTACTGGTAATTCCTTTAATCCGAATGACATGCCACGCATGCCAAAAAAAAAAATGAATTGAAAAGAGTACGGATGTTATCCATATTGCTATTAGGTTAGATTACAATCCCTTTACAATAAAATCAGATGAGTGGATACATTCTTGTATTATAAAATGTCAGAGTTATGACAAAGCCGTGCACGGGCCTATACAAATAATTAAAAGGTAGCTCTTAATACAATGGGCTAATGTCTATATAAAGAAATCAGTTTCTTAACCCCTTAAGGACACAGCTTCAGAAGCTTGTCTTACGCTTAATGACACAAGCAATTTTTGCATTTTCTTGCTGTATGCGTTCAACTGCAATTTGCATCTCTCTCGTTTATTGCACCGACACATATTATATACTGTTTTTTAAAGGACATAAAGGGCTTTAATTTGATGTAACATATATATATATAAATGCTTATTTATTATTTAAAAAATACAGAAAAATGCAAAAAAAAGAAAAAATTTGTGTTTTTTGTACAGTTTTTGCAATAATAATGTGTGCCTAATTAGTGCAGGTTAAAGAAAGTAATTAAAAATAAATTTATTTAGTTGTTCTGATTTACAAAATATATAATGTGTCTGGGATTTAAAGTTTTTTTTGGTAGTTACAGGTCATAAAGCACAAGGAGTAAAATAAACTTTTAATGTAGAGCGATTTTAGAATTTTGTATGTTTGTCTTGTAAGCTTAATAGCCATAAAAGAAAACAAAATTGCCACACAAAAGTATATATTTATATAAAGTAGACATCACAGGCTATTGTCCTAAGGTTTTTTTGACACTTTCTAAGTAGCCATTTCACCGCCAATCTCTGCTAAATATTGGAGTAAAATTTAGTTTTTTGGAGTTTTTGGCACACAAACTTATAACAAAGAACTTCCCATGTATATTTTGTAAAGTTGGTGTGTGCTATTCCTGTACAAAGTTTTATTTTGTGTTCAGTTACTTCTGCTGAGTACAACGATACCCCCATTGTATGTCTTTGGCACTATTTCGTGAAGCTACAGTGCCATATAGGAGACCTGTCCGTTTCAACATTTACAGTAGAATTTTGAGAGGCGGATTTAATGGGCCTATGCTTCAATTTGGGGTATTATAGCAGTTTGACTGTTCAAAAAAAAACCACAAAGGCCTATCATTTATAAAAGTAGACACTCCAGGGTATCTCATATGGTGCATATTGTGCCTTAACATGCCCCCATTTTTTCACCAATATATGCCAAAGTATGTGGTAAAAAATAATTTTGGGCATTTTTTACATACGGATTACATTTTTGCTGGGCATTTTGTACATTTCATATGTGCCACTAAGTTCAAACCCCCAAATTATGCTCAGCTAAGTCTTCTGAGTAAAACAATATGCCCAATGTATGACCTAGACACTATTTTGTGAAGTTACACTGCTATAAAAGAGACGTAACAAGTTAAGGTTTTTAAGTGTGAATTTTCATGGAGGGTTTTGATGCGTCCGTGCCCACTTTGGAGCACTTGAGCAGGCTACATATTACAACTACACCATAAAGGCATACCATTTCTTAAAGAACACATCCCAGGGTATTTCAAAAGGCATATTTTGAACCTTAGCGTGGGATAATTTTTCCGCTAGCTTGTACCAAGTGTAATGGTAATAAGCGTTTTTTTGCCTTTTTGACACACAAAGTAAATTTGCGCAGTACATTTTGCAAATCTTATGTGTGCTACGACTGTATAATACTTCATATGTTGCTCAGCTATGTCGGCTGAGTACATCAATACCCCCGTATGTACCTTTGCCAGGTATATGTGGACATCGGAGGGGCACATTTGGGACACAGCCATTCCAGTTCATTTCAAACTTTAAATTTTTACACTGTTCCCATGTCCCATTTTAGAGTATTTTACCAGGCTATATAATCCAAATACCCCATAAAGCCATACCATTTCTTAAAGAAGACATCCCGGGGTAATTCAAAAGGCATATTTTGAACCTTAGCGTGGGATAATTTTTCCGCTAGCTTGTACCAAGTGTAGTGGTAATAAGCATTTTTTCTGCCTTTTTGACACACAAAGTGAGTTTGCGCAGTATATTTTGCAAACCTTATGTGTACTACGACTGTATACTACTTCATATGTTGCTCAGCTATGTCGGCTGAGTACATCAATACCCCCGTATGTACCTTTGCCAGGTTTATGTGGACATTGAAGGGGCACATTTGAGACACAGCCATTCCATTTTTTTCAAACTTTGAATTTTTACGCTGTGTCCATGTCCCATTTTAGAGTATTTTAAAAGGCTATATAATCCAATTACACCATAAAGGCATACCATTTCTTAAAGAAGACATCCCGGGGTAATTCAAAAGGCATATTTTGAACCTTAGCGTGGGATAATTTTTCCGCTAGCTTGTACCAAGTGTAGTGGTAATAAGCATTTTTTCTGCCTTTTTGACACACAAAGTGAGTTTGCGCAGTATATTTTGCAAACCTTATGTGTACTACGACTGTATACTACTTCATATGTTGCTCAGCTATGTCGGCTGAGTACAGCAATACCCCCGTATGTACCTTTGCCAGGTTATATGTGGACATTGAAGGGGCACATTTGAGACACAGCCATTCCATTTTTTTTAAACTTTGAATTTTTACGCTGTGTCCATGTCCCATTTTAGAGTATTTTAAAAGGCTATATAATCCAATTACACCATAAAGGCATACCATTTCTTAAAGAAGACATCCCGGGGTAATTCAAAAGGCCTATTTTGAACCTTAGCGTGGGATAATATTTCCGCTAGCTTGTACCAAGTGTAGTGGTAATGAGCATTTTTAAATGTATTTTTTTACTTTGTAAAACTTTTTTTACTTTGTAAAACCCATTTTTAAACTTTTTTTTTTACTTATTAAATGTTTTACACTATCTTAACTTTTTTTACACTTTTAATTTTTTTTCTAAACTTTTCTTTTACCGTTAACCCCTAACTAGCAGTAAGCAGCACTAACCGTAAATTCCCCATTTTCCCATAACTCCCACCCACCCCAGCTAGCAAAATATTTAATTATAAAATATTTAAATTAATTAATTAAATAAATGGAACCCCTGAGGGTTAAAAAAAATAAATAAAAGTTAATCCTCAGGGGTTAAAAAAATTAGATCACAGTATAATACTGTGATCTGTATTTTGATCACTGTAGGCAGTGATCAGCTGGCAGGGAAGGGGTTAATTTTTATTTAGACTGGGTAAAGGGGGTGGTATTTTTTTTTTTTTTACTTAAACGTTACTAAAACATTTAAAAAAAAATTTTTTTTTACCTTTTTAAAGCTTATTTTAAAACTTTTTTTAACGTTAACCCCTAGTTAGCCTAACACCAAATTCCCCAATTCCCCACTAACTTCCACCCATCCCAGCTAGCTAAATATATAATTTTTTAATATTTAAATTAATTAATAAAATAAATTTAACCCCTGAGGGTTAAAAAAAAAAATAATTAACCCTCAGGGGTTAAAAAAAAAAAAATCAGATGACATTAAAATGTATACCCTGCCAATTGATCACTGTAGTCAGTGATCAATTGGCAGGGAAGGGGTTAATTTTATTAAAACAGGGGCAGGGGGGGTGGGATTTAACTTAAATTTTTTTTTTTTTTTTACACAGTGAAGCAGATCAGCACTGATCCGTCTCCCTGCACTTCACACAGAACCCGGAAGTGCAGGGAGGCGGAAGGTGAGTATGTGGAGCACATGTGCTCGCTCTGACATGCTGTCAGAGCGAGCACCGGTGCTGGGGCAGCCCGATCGGGTGCTCCCGGTCTGCCTCTAATGCAGAGGCAGACCGGAGCACCGTTAACCCCGCGATTGCCGCGATCGCGGCGATCTGGGGTTAACTTAAGAAAATGACGGAAATTTTCCGTCAACGGTCCTTAACTGAAGGACAAGGTTGACGGAAAATTTCCGTCCACGGTCGGGAAGGGGTTAAAAAACTAAAATTAAGAAAACTTGTCTAAACATCAGATTCCAGCTAGGGACAGGAGTATAAATATACAATTGGACAAAACCCAATTACACTGATACATTTAGGGTTTGCATAAAAAAATAGGTATTCCAAAAGTAACCGCATGATATAAGCATAACTTGCTAATTTCAGAGAAAAATAAACAGCATAGATAATTAAAAATGTGCTCTGATGTCTGTATTTCAAATAGATATAAATTGATAATCATTGCTTTCGAAATCAGGTTTATCAGTAAACATTACCCAGTTGATGAACAGATAAACAGGCAAGTTGAGCTGTATCAAATGTAGCATTTGAGGTTGCACAGAACAAATAACCTCCCTCTCCCAGTCACATGTGGTGTTCCCCAAGGTTCCATTCTCGGCCCCCTACTATTTACATTATTTATAAATGATCTGTTTAATGTCTGCAAATCCTCAAATGTACACATGTACGCAGATGACACAGTAATCTATGCGAGCAAATCCAATCTACCGCAACTTGAGGCTGTGCTCCAAGACCAGTTTACAGAGGTAGAAAAGTGGATCACAAAAAACAAACCCTTACTAAATACTGACAAAACTGTCACAATGATCTTTGGAACAGGCCCTCTTCAACCCTTCGTTTCTGTGAGTTTTCTTGTAATTGTCCTATTTATAGTCAAATCCCTCCTCTAATAATATTGTAAAGCGCTACGGAATCTGTTGGCGCTATATAAATCGCAATAATAATAATAATAATAATACCTAAATTACACAAATTACAAAATCCCCATCTATGCATCAAAACAAAATCAAGTAGTACACTGACCGCAGTCAACTCTTTCAAATACTTGGTTATGTTGTTAGACCCCAATCTATCTTTTGGTCTCCACATAGAAAAGCTTGCATCTAAACTTTGTCCAAAACTAGGTGCCCTGTACAGAAACAAATCCTGCCTAAACCCTACAGTAAAGGAAAAGATTGTACAGCAAATGCTGATGCCAGTCATTGATTATGGGGATGTAGTATATGCACCGGCAATGCAAACCCACCTTAACAAACTCAATACATTGTATAACTCGTTCCTCCTTCTCCTACAGAGCACCGCAATTATGGAACAACCTCCCGCACACTTTCAAATCTTCCCCAAGCCTAAAATCCTTTAAGAGATCCCTCTCTACATATCTCAAAACAGAATGCACGTGTCATTGTTAATTATATATGTCCTATCTGTTCTGTGTTAAATTTTGTATATATTGTGTATTAATATTGTTTTTGTATTTTATTGTACCCTATTGTATCAATGCAATGTTTTTTGAACCCAGGACATACTTGAAAATGAGAGAAATCTCAATGTATCCTCCCTGGTAAAATATTTTATAAATAAATACATTTTGGTACCAGACTCTCCAAACGCAAACCAAACCCTTGTTTAATAGAAAGGTAGGTACTTGTGTATTTGCTTCAGTGCATTTTGACATACATTGAGTGTTCATGAAAACAAACAACAAACATAACAGTGCTGGATGGCCTTATGTAATGAAAAGCACAGTGAGGTTCACATGCAGATATCAAAATTGGACAAATCTGCATAAACTACTTATTACCTTTATCCTCCGATATGTGAAAATACAGTTGCAAATGAAGATTGTTTAACTTGTAAGAGTAATCAGATATTATCATTCTCCATTAGATAGCCGATCTTCTTCCCAAATTGGAGGGGAACTTGGTAGACTAGGCAGCACCTGCCTCACATTTGAAGAGGGTAATTTCTTCTCCCAAGATTAACCAGAGTGAAGATAACTCCAACGCAGACACTTGATTAATAGGTCAAAGTAAAAAACAGAATCCACGTTGCATAATAGTCAATTACCCATGCATGTTTCTTTTATTTTCTTTCAGGTTTTTAACAATCAGGTAGACTTCTTATGTAGTATAACCACTATCTGCACGCTTTTATCTAGTTTAATATAAAACTTACCTAAATGCTCGCTGATAACCTCCTAAATGTGACCCATTTGTTAGCAGAAAGCCTCAATGGCAGTATTGGGGACTACAGGCTATCCAGAGTCCTCCTACCTATACTAATCAGTAATGTAAACTACTGATGCACTTACCTGAGGCGGAAAACACAATACTAAATAGCCTGGAAAGAGGCAGGTAAGCTGCTGCAGGGCTGTATTCCACTGGCATATGTGGATTTTACAAACTAATACTCTAATCTGCTTAAACTAGGGGCCTGCTTGTGAACCCCTGTATCATTGTCATCTCCTCCAGGAGAGATGTTAGGTTAGACCCTTGCTTACTAAAAGGGATACACTCAGGTAGAAACCTTGCATAGCTTCGGTTTATGGGTTCCTCAGGGACAAGAGGCTGAACCCTGGCACAACCTTCAAAATATTGGTCCGGTGAGCATAAAATAACATTTAGGCTTGCGAAAGCAGGCTCCTTCCTTGACACATCTTTGGTGGTTAAAATTGATTTGATTGAGAGGCACTGGTGAGTTAAAAACGGCATCCATGATTATCCTCTTCATAAGTAATTTTATGATATATTCTATGACTGGTGGTTATTCTCTCCATATAGCGTCTTGTGCCCAGTGTTCATGTCTATATGTTTGTTATAGTTGTATATCTGCAGTATGTTTATCTGTAACCTTTTATTACTTTGAGCAGTTGTAATGTTTCATTGCACATTAACGTTGATCATAAACTGTAATCACTTTCTCTCTTACCGCTTCCATTTTCTTTTATGTAGGGTCTGATGCCACGTGGTGAGAGGCCCAACCCACTGCGTGAGAAGAACGAACGTATAAACCAGCTCCTGCGCGTATGGCTTCCTCGTCTGCCTGGGGTGCAGCTGCTGGATGTAGATAGTGGATTTGTGCATTCGGACGGCCTCATCTCCCGTCATGACATGTTTGATTTTCTCCACCTCACTGCTGCTGGCTACGCCAAGGTGTGCCGACCCCTACATGAACTGATCATGCAGCTGCTAGAGGAAACACCAGAGGAGAAACAGGTCACCCTAGCCTGATTCCTGTCTACTTCCTGATCTCGTCGTCGGTGTTATATCATTGGCTGCCCCCTTGCTCACTAAAACCGCCTCAGCTGTTTATATAATGCTCAGTGTATATACACAGAACTCATATACACCTGCTCAGTTCCAGATCCTCCTGCTAATCCTTTTTTGCTGTCTTTGATATTGCTGGGCAGTAATAATGTTATTGGTAATGTCCCCTGTAGAGTCTGAGGTGCAGAATGGACCCTGGAATTTACCCCAGAGGCAGCAGCATGATATCTTGAATGGGCGGGTGCTGTATATATCAAGAATAGTATGGAGATATCCATCGCACAGGTGGTTGTACAGCAAACCCTCTGTGGCATGGAATGGCGCGGAGTAGCATTAATAAAAGCTGGTATCAGGATACCACTTCAGAAGCATCTGCACACTAAACGCATCTCATAGCTTGTAGCCCTGCACCACATGGTAGACTCACACTTCATCTTTATGTGCTGTGGCACTGGATGCTAGATGGTGTTCCAGTGTTATCATAAACAAAAAGGAAAAAAAAAACACAAATTGAAGAGTTGTAATTATGGCTGCCGAGTGTCTCCGACATAGAAAGGGTTAGTGCGTGTATTGGTACTTGGAGTTCTAATGCAGAAATGAAAGGAGCATCAATGGGTTTTAGGTGAAAATGCAGAAATACATTTAGTTTTTTTTTCACTTAACCCATTCTGTGTCAGGACAGCCCGTGCCAAATTACCAGTCCGAATTTGTTTTATTACCTGGTATATTCGTTGTGTATCTGTCTTTCCATGGCACAGGGACAGCAGATGCTGGAAGTGTCTGTGAATATATATATATATATATCTGTATTGAATTGCTAGTATGAATTATATGTTTGAGAATGTCTAGCCCATCCAGGGACCAATAGAGAAGTGAATGCCTGTTAAACTTACAAGTCACCATCAGCATTAGGGCTGGGTATCGGTCTAAGAATGACTGGAAAGTCGCACTCCTGACACACTTTCTTTTAGCTCTTACCGCAGCCCTAGAAAGTTGTGCAAACATGGGAATATGACACTGAAGTAACATCAATACAGAATAAATAACCCTTTGTTTTACAGGCCAGTAGCAACCTGCACTTATTGCCCATACATCTAATGTAAGCTACTAACAGGCATAAAGCTGTGGATGTGGCAGAATCCTTTGTTTGTATAATGATATCAATCTTGTTGTTTTCCGATCTCTATTTTCTTTCTTAAAATCTTAATGAGATGGTACCTTTCAGAATGAATCGGCACAGATCCTGTGCAGTTGTAGCTTCAAATGGGGAGGAAAAGGTTAGCAGCAAAGTTTGCAAAGGGTGGATTTCCTATAGTATTCGTGATTCACCTGTCTGCCTCTCAGACCTGTACAGTTTCTGAACCCATCTGTAGAATATGGACCCTAAGTTCTCCTGCTTCTGTACGTGGATTCATGAACTGGTCTGTCCCTTCTTGTCACGTGTGTATGGAGTTGAGATATAAAATTTCCATTGTGAAATTCGCACCTGTGTTTGTCATCTTTCTGTTAGGGCCACACGTTTCTCAGAACCAGAAACTAACGTTGAATATGTGCAAAAAGTGATTTGTAACTTTTAAAAAAAAACGTATTGTCCATAACAGGCGTAATATTTCTTAGGAGCAAAATGTAACTAGATTTATATGATACATTGGGGAAAGGTCGTAAAACTAATATGTGATGCTTGACTTCCTTAGAAGGTTCAGTTATTAAGGGTCAAAATGTAACATATGCCAAGATCAGGATTCCACTAGTTATGACAGCTGTTAAACAGAGGGTAGTCAAAAGTCTGGGTACTAAAATATAGCAATGTTTACATCTATCCAAATGTCTCAATGATCACAAACTAGTTCAGAGGATGCTAAAATAACAAAAGGGTGTCCTAGTTTGTGAAAAGAAGTCTTATGTAGGTCTTAAAGGAACACTATAGTTCCCGTATAAGACTTATTATCACAAACATGTATTCCTGACACTTTAGTGTTGTAGTAGCTATTTAGGTGATCGTACCTCTTCTCCATTTACCTTCTCTCCCCTGCCACACTGGTTTACATGCAGCTGGCTCTGCCTCCATGGCTGAGATCATTAATCTTGATGAACTCAGCCAATCCAATGCTTTCCCATAGGAAAGCATTGGGAGGCTATTGTGCATGCGCTGCAAAATGCAGTACTGCGCCAATCAGCATCTCATCATAATGATGCACTGAATCAATGCATCTCTATAGGGAACGTTCAGCTTCTCCATGCAGAGCTGTACATTAAGCCGTAGTGGTTCTGGTGACTATAGTGTACCTTTAATCTCCCCACAAATCCCTTCTGACAATTATTAGAATTATTACAGACACAGTAACAGCACCAGTTCTGTTCAGAAAAATGGCAGTAGCTGTATGTGGATGGTTTAGATGCTGGGGGGACAAAGACTTATTATATGTTATTCCTTGCCCAATTATCCCTGCTGGCAATAATATGAATTGCATTGCAGAGAGATGTACAGCACCAGTTCTATATAGCAAAAGTGGCAGAGGATGGGAAGATGGCATTGGAATCCATACAACTTATTGGTGGCGGTCACACAGATCCAATTTACTTTGAATCCACTTTAAATTCCTAGCAAGTCCTACTTTAGACAATAATCCAGCGTGTTAGTCTCTGTAGTGAGAATTCAAAGTGAATTTTAAATTTAAGGCCAATGTATTTGAACTGGAAGCACAGTTGAATTTGAAATTCACTTTGAATTCTCCCTTTAATGAGTAACCCAGTGAAGGTATCATTACGTTTGCCAGATCTGCCGTTTGTCTGTTTTGATCTAAAAATTTTAATCCATGTTGAATTTTTGACAAATAACACTTTACTGAAAACCTCTTTTAGCGTTTGAGTCCCTACCTGAAGCACTGGCCAAGAAGGAGGACCATTAGCTATTAAGTGACATAGATATGTTCTCTTTTATGTTTTGTAATTACATTTCCAAGTTTTCTAAATTCATGCTGTAATATTTGGCCATCATAGTGTACAGGTGTATTCAGTGTCTCAGAAAGATAAATGGTATTTCTTAGCATGCTTTGCTGTGATGTAATATTTTATCACCCCCTAGTGGTAATAATTCATAAGGCAGTTAGCTATTATTTGCCTTTTTATCCATGATTCAGAAACCAGTAATATTATTTTTATCCTGTGATAAATACACATCACTTTAAATGTTTTAGGATTTACCATAGTCCAGGCTCTGAAATTTACCTTGATGGCATTTAGATTATATTTATTTTTAATATCTTGATTTAACAGTTCTTATATAGCGCTTTTATCCTGAGTGCTTTACAAAATTCGAACAATTCTTAGAGATTAAGGAATATATCATTAGATGCATTGTGACAGAATATCTTATTGTCATGCGTTGTCAGCATAATAGTGAAGGTGGCTTCCCTCTCCTTTAATAGTTCTGCATTGTTTTACCTCCTCTCTCTCAACGCAGCTCTTACCAATATCCTCTCACTATCTCTTAATTTCTCTTCTATTTATCACTCTGTATCTGTTCTGGTGAGTATAATCATTCCCTTCAGGCTTTTTGCAGTAAAATGTGTTTACATTACAACCTAGGGATACCTCCACTGGCCACTCCTCAGATGGCTGCTAGAGGTGCTTCCTGGCGCAGTGCTGCACAGTGTGACTGACATTCAGTGTCTCCACCCTCTGCATGGAGATACTGAACTTTCCTCCTAGAGATGCATTGATTTCTATGAGAAGATGCTGATTGGCCAGGGCTGTGTTTGGCCTGTGCTGGCTCTGCCCCTGATCTGCCTCCTTGATAATCTGATTAAATCCAATGCTTTCCTATGTGAACGCATTGTAATTGGCTTTGATCAACACTTCTGATGATGTCAGCCAAGCAGGCAGATCAGGGGCAGAGTCAACAGCAGCAAACTGGAATAAAGGTAATATTTTACTATAATTGGGGGGAGGCCAGGGGGACTAGTTGGTGTTTTCAACACCATAGGGTCAAGAATAAGTGTATGTGTTCCTTTAACCTTTCTGTCTTCATCATTTCCAATATCTATATCCTATTCATCCAGCCTATTCACCAATCCATCTAGTCCACGCTGTCCATGCCTTCCTGGCTATTTTCACCCTGTCCATTTTCCCCCTGTTCATCCATTCCTGGCTATTCTCACTGTCACAAACATGGGCTATTGGTCCAGCCGAGACCGTGGGAAGAGTGTGGAAGTGAAAGGGTTAATGACACCAGACCCCTGGTTTAAAAACCCTTGCAATCCCTTCTACACTAACACCCTAGTACACACTTTACTGCCACCACCAAGACTTTATATCTGAGCATCTTAGGTTGCCCCACACACAATAGAGTTATAGTATCACAACCTTACCTTACTGATCAGACATATATAAAATGTAAAAAATACCCCTTTCTGTCTCATTAGAGATATCTTTGCCAGAAGCTCAAGGAAGCAAGGTGAAGGGTCAGAGTAGGACCCGTCTAGGGGGGTCTGCCTTGACATTGGCAGGCGGGCATTCCCTCCAGTGGCCATTGGAGTAACTAAATTACCTCCATTTGTTTAAATATACATAGGGATTAAGGAGAGAGCGCAGGTAACTTTTTTCCTTTGGTTTTTAATATATGTATTGGAGCTGATGTGTACTGTGGTCGTTGCTGCCGCCCAGGAGTGATGCGAGTGAGCGCAGGACTTTTCTTTTTGTATTTGTATTCACTTTTTTTTATCACACAGCTAGGTTACAATGCTGCTGCCCATCCCATGTGTTCCCTATTAAGGGTTAATAAGTATATAGGGGTGTATATAAAAAATACCCCTTTCTGTCTCATTAGAGATATCTTTGCCAGAAACTCACAGAAGCAAGGTGAAGGGTCAGAGTAGGATCTCAGGCAGTGAGCTTTCAGCCGCTGTCTGGCCCGGTAGTGAAGCGGTCCTGGGAAATAGTCAAAGGGTTATGGTGCCTTTCTGCCGTACCTGTCGAATTTCCATACGAATCGTCGTTATCAATGATGTGGAAGGTGTAATCCGCCCAAGGTGGAATCTATTCCGAAGTAGAGGAACTGAATCACTCGGAACTGGGATCGAACCGACTCCTCTCTGTTCACTATGAATCCCAACAATTCCAGAAACGGTAAACATAAATCTCGTTTGTAAACGTAGTCAGGAATTGGATTTGCAAAAGGTCAGTAAGTAGTCTAGGTATGCGACAGCGGATACCCTTTGCTCTTCAGTGCGCCGTGACCGGCTTCAGAAACTTCATGAGGCACCATGTGAACCAGTAGGTAAGTGCCCTTCCAATCCAACCTTGTGAACCCCTTTTGAAGAGTAGATCCCCTAAGAGATGGATACCTTCCAAAGTATAGAATTTTTTCTAGGGGCTGATCATGTCCAGTATTTCATCCTGACTTGTTTTGAGTCCTTCTCCTACACCTTTACATGGACCCTGGCCTGATCGGGACATAAATATCACCACAGTGATACCGAGCTCCATGGTGAGGACTATCTTGTTCGGTCATAGAGGGCGTGGGCATTCCACCCTGAGCTTGTTTTCCTATTGTTTTCCCATAGGCCTCCTGAACCAGAAGTGGTCAAAGTGTGCCCGGTGCTCCGGTAAACCCCATTCGGATGACCCTGGGTGTCGGATGGTGCGTTAGTCAAAACAAGAGTGTCCAGTGTGCCAAAGAAAAACCTTTCTTGCTAGGCGGGTCTTGTCACTTTACCTCTTCAGATGGAGACTCTTCTACTCTCCATTCTTTCATGATCTCCAGAGAAGGGGGAGGGATGAAGTCCTCGTCCCCTGATGATGGAGCCTGAGCTGATTAATGGACAGGACGTTCTGAGAGACGGCTCCGCTAAGTCGGGGTGTTCACTTTCCCCTTTGGAGAAGCCGCGTTGGAGCCCTTCCAATGGTGTTTAGATGATAAGGTACCTAACGTTGTTGGTATCTCTAGCTTCCATTGGTGTTGGTGCCGTTGAGGGAAGTCCGACATGTTGGTTCACACCCGAGACAGGATCGTACAACAATACACTTATTGCCACTCAGTGGGCCTCCTCGTATAACTGGGGTCACCCAGAATTTCGATCAATCAGTACCACTTTTGCAGGATCCGGGGAGTGGTCTGACAATGAGGACACCCCCAGTAAGACCGGGATGAGCCGTCTGCAATGTCGGGACGTAGCCCGAGTATGGGAGACGTGAAAGCCTCAATATGTATAATCCAAGGGGTTCATCCTTATATGGCCTAGAATTGTGGAGTTTTGGCAGCACTGTGAGTTCTCCTTCATGGTTAAGGGAAGGGCGTACGGATCCCCCAGTTGAAGCATAGAGGTGACGAAATACATGTATCTAGTGCGCCTTAATCTGTGTATACAATGACAGAGCGTACTCTGAAGGTAGAAGCCCTAGAAAGGGTGCGGGGGGTCACCCCGTCCGGCAGGGGCTCACCCCTTTGTACCTATGCCACTAGCACCGGAGTAAGACTCGCTTGGAGGTCACCCCTGTATGTATGTCTCTTATGGCATGTTGGGACACTCTTTCGGTCTGTGGGGTACCGAACAGGTGACAGGTACGTTAGTACACTTATTGCCACTTAGTGGGCCTCCACGTACGACTGGGGGTCACCCAGAATTGTTTCAATCAGTACCACTTAGAGATTTCCTGGGAGTGGTCTGAGGAGGGGGTCACCCTCAATAAGACCGGGATGAGCGATCAGTAATGTCGGGACGTAGCCCGTGTATGGGGAGGTATGGTAGCCTCCAAATTATCCAAGGGGTCACCCTTATTGGATATAGTACTGTGGAGAATTGGCAGCACCGTGAGCTCTCCTTTTTGGCTCTGTCGATATACATGTATCCAGTGTGTCCCGGGCTGTGCATACAGTAACAGAACGTACTCCGTGGATATGAGCCCGTCCTAGGGCGTGGGGGTCCCCCCCAGTATATGTATGTCACTAGTACCGGAATAAGATTCGCTTGGGTTCACCCCAGTATATGTATGTCACTAGGACAGGAACCAGATTCGCTTGGGGATCACCCAGCGTAAGGGGGGGAGTCATCCCTGTACCACAATGTCACTTTGGAGAGGTGTCTGCCACGCTTGGGGGTCACCCAGCGTAAGGGGGGTCACCGCTGTTAATCACTCCGTTATGTGCCTCCACTACTGTGTCCTGGGAGGTGTATCCCTGTGGGGAAGGAGTGTATTCAGTGGTTGTGAGGTCCAGTGGGAGTAGGGAGCTGAGTAAGTTATCAGCTCTATTTAATTTCCCTGCCAGCAGATAGAGTAATGCATCCACTATATGCCCACAGCAGGGAACAGTCCATTCATAATCCTCCAGACGTACAATAAAAATGTTATTCAACATGTCAATTGTATAGAACAGAATAGAGCAAACTGCCAGCAGACATGAGTACTGCATCCACTATATGCACTCAGCAGGGATCAGTCCATATTCATGCAGAGTTACATATAAAACTTTTTTTTTACATGCCAATGAAATATGACAGTATAGAGCTGAGCAGTGAACAGTCCTTTCATAATCTTACAGAAAAGGTACATATAAAACCTTTATTCCACATGCCCATGAGATGTATTAGTTTTGAGCTCAAAAGTACTTTTATTTCGCAGGAAAAATATTTTAAACAGTACAGATCTAGCTGCCAGTTCGTGGGAATCACGAACTGGCTAAACGACATGGCCGACGTGAGTCTCGCGAGTGCCGCGAGATTCAAGATTGCCGATGTTCGCGCACAAAAGTGCCGTGTGGCCCGCCGGTATGGAACAGAGTCCCCCCTGACACCCACAACCCCCAGAGACCTGCCCTGAATTACCAGCCCCAGTAAATAAAAAAACGAGATTGCAGTAAAACGCTGCGATCCGTGCGCGACCAGAGTAAAGCATAGGAAAGAAAAGGTGCCAGCAACAGAAAACCAAACAGGCTAATAAAGCAGAAAATACGGGGGAAGTGTAACAGGGGGAGAATATCACACTACAGGGAGTGCAGAATTATTAGGCAAGTTGTATTTTTGAGGATTAATTTTATTATTGAACAACAACCATGTTCTCAATGAACCCAAAAAACTCATTAATATCAAAGCTGAATATTTTTGGAAGTAGTTTTTAGTTTGTTTTTAGTTATAGCTATGTTAGGGGGATATCTGTGTGTGCAGGTGACTATTACTGTGCATAATTATTAGGCAACTTAACAAAAAACAAATATATACCCATTTCAATTATTTATTATTACCAGTGAAACCAATATAACATCTCAACATTCACAAATATACATTTCTGACATTCAAAAACAAAACAAAAACAAATCAGTGACCAATATAGCCACCTTTCTTTGCAAGGACACTCAAAAGCCTGCCATCCATGGATTCTGTCAGTGTTTTGATCTGTTCACCATCAACATTGCGTGCAGCAGCAACCACAGCCTCCCAGACACTGTTCAGAGAGGTGTACTGTTTTCCCTCCTTGTAAATCTCACATTTGATGATGGACCACAGGTTCTCAATGGGGTTCAGATCAGGTGAACAAGGAGGCCATGTCATTAGATTTTCTTCTTTTATACCCTTTCTTGCCAGCCACGCTGTGGAGTACTTGGACGCGTGTGATGGAGCATTGTCCTGCATGAAAATCATGTTTTTCTTGAAGGATGCAGACTTCTTCCTGTACCACTGCTTGAAGAAGGTGTCTTCCAGGAACTGGCAGTAGGACTGGGAGTTGAGCTTGACTCCATCCTCAACCCGAAAAGGCCCCACAAGCTCATCTTTGATGATACCAGCCCAAACCAGTACTCCACCTCCACCTTGCTGGCGTCTGAGTCGGACTGGAGCTCTCTGCCCTTTACCAATCCAGCCACGGGCCCATCCATCTGGCCCATCAAGACTCACTCTCATTTCATCAGTCCATAAAACCTTAGAAAAATCAGTCTTGAGATATTTCTTGGCCCAGTCTTGACGTTTCAGCTTGTGTGTCTTGTTCAGTGGTGGTCGTCTTTCAGCCTTTCTTACCTTGGCCATGTCTCTGAGTATTGCACACCTTGTGCTTTTGGGCACTCCAGTGATGTTGCAGCTCTGAAATATGGCCAAACTGGTGGCAAGTGGCATCGTGGCAGCTGCACGCTTGACTTTTCTCAGTTCATGGGCAGTTATTTTGCGCCTTGGTTTTTCCACACGCTTCTTGCGACCCTGTTGACTATTTTGAATGAAACGCTTGATTGTTCGATGATCACGCTTCAGAAGCTTTGCAATTTTAAGAGTGCTGCATCCCTCTGCAAGATATCTCACTATTTTTGACTTTTCTGAGCCTGTCAAGTCCTTCTTTTGACCCATTTTGCCAAAGGAAAGGAAGTTGCCTAATAATTATGCACACCTGATATAGGGTGTTGATGTCATTAGACCACACCCCTTCTCATTACAGAGATGCACATCACCTAATATGCTTAATTGGTAGTAGGCTTTCGAGCCTATACAGCTTGGAGTAAGACAACATGCATAAAGAGGATGATGTGGTCAAAATACTCATTTGCCTAATAATTCTGCACTCCCTGTATATAAGTCCAAAAGGAAGGCAAGTGCAAAATAATGAAAAACGTTTAGGTCACAAATGCAGGACAAGCTAATAAAGTTTAACTAAAGTGGCCACATGCATATCCAGAAACAGTTTGGAGCAAAACTCAATGTCTAGCATTAAAAATCTAACTAAAGTGACCATAGCAATATTAATAAAAACAGTTGGAGCAAACTGAATGTCAATTAATAAAGTTTAATTAAAGTGACCATTGCAATATCCAGAAAACCAGTTTGGATTAAAACTGAATGTCTAGCATGAGGTGTCTAACTAAAGGGATCATAGCAATATTAATAAAAACAGTTTGGAGCAAAACTGAATGTTAAGCAATAAATTATTAACTAATGACAATTTGCAATATCAGTAAAACAGTTTGGAGCAAAATACTCTGACCTGTGCCTTGGCTGGTAAGCAGCAAAGAAAGAGGGAGTCATGTGTCTGTCCTGGCTTTATATATGGATGTGATGCCTGTTACTGATTGGTTTAAAGTTTATTGATTGACTGGTGCTGCTGGAGGCATAAAGTAAAGAAAGTTATGCAAAATATGAAGCCTCCTGTCATGTGATAAAATTCGGGATAACAACACACGAAAAGGACTTGGGAATTGTTAGAGACAACAAACTATGCAACAATGTGCAATGTCAATCAGCAGTGGCTAAGGCCAGTAATGTATTGTCATGCATGAAAAAAATCATTCATTCTTGGCATTAGAATATCATTTTGCCTCTTTATAAATCACTGGCAAGACCACATATTGAATATGCTGTGCAAATTTGGGCACCTGTTCTAAAGAAGGATATTATGGCACTAGAGAAAGTGCAGAGGCGGGCTACAAAATTAATAAAAGGAATGGAACATATCAGCTATGAAGAAAGGTTAACAGATTTAAACCTCTTTAGTTTAGAAAAACGTCGCCTGAGAGGGGATATGATCACATTATAAAAATATATAATCGGGGCCAATACAAACCATTGTGTGAAAATCTATTCACAAACCAGACTTTACATAGGACACAAGGTCATACGTTTAGACTGAAGAAAGAAGATTTTGTCTAAGGCAAAGAAAAGTTTTTTTTTTACTGTAAGAACAATAAGGATGTGGAATTCTCTCCCTGAAGAAGTGGTTTTATCAGAGTCCATACAGATGTTCAAACAGCTACTAGATGCATACTTGCAAAAACAGAATATTCAAGGATATAATCTTTCAATGTAGGGTAATAGCTTCTTGATCCAAGGGTTAATCTGACTGCCATTCTGGAGTCAAGAAGGAATTTTTTGATTCAAACTGTTTTTTTTTTTGCCTTCTTTTGGATATACAGCAAAAAACAGATATAAGGAAGGCTGAACTTGATGAACACAAGTCTATTTTCAGCTATGTAACTATGTACAAAAACAACCCATAACATATATCAAATGCCAACTCATGCTTTGGCTTGACATTCACTCTGTCCATCCCTTTCAGGCTATTTTCACCGTGTCCATCCCTTACAGGCTATTTTCACCCTGTCCATCCCTTTCAGGTTATATCACCATCTTCATCCATGTCTTCCAGCCTGTTTCTCTCTCTACCACTAATCCAGTCTGTTATCCTTTCTCTCAGTCCCCTTAGCAGTTTGTTGTACAGCCTGTTGTTTCTGCTCTTTCCCTAATCCTCCAGTGGTCTGTCCCAGGCTTTCTCTGTGTTTCATTTGATTTATTTTGGCCTATGTCCCGGTCTCTGTAGATCTGCAGTTTCCTACTTTATCTCTTTCTCAAACTTTGTCTTTTTTTTTTTTTTTGGCCATTGAACGCTGTTTTCTTTCTGACTCCTCACCTTTTTTGCCAGTTTTTCCTTATCTGTCCAACCGTGTCTTCCCTAATGTCATTCTGTCCATTTCAGTCTTTTCTCATCCCCCTCTTATAATTGCTGGTGCTTTTGTGTGGACTAGAATAGTAGCTATTGTACTGCTGAGGATCATTACGTCTTATTCAATGGAGGTCACAGAAGATGCAGCTGTGGTCAGATAATAAAAAAAAAAAAAAACTACCATCCTTATAGTCTGATTTATTTTATCTGAAAGAAATTCAGAAATAATGAAACGTGGCCAGCGGTTAAACATGACATCATAACAGGGGAGAGCTGTTTTAACAGCTGGTCAGATAAAGGGTATTACATATCACAAATGGGTAAACTAGAAAAGGTTAAAGGAACACTATAGTCACAAAAACACCTTTAGCTGAATGAAGCCGGTTTAGTGTATAGATCATGCCTCTAAGGTCTCAATGATTAATTCACTGATATTTCGAAGATAAATAATGTTTGCTTCTGTTTATGCAGCCCTAACCACCCCTCCCCTGGCAGTGACTGTCACAGCCTGCATGAAAAAAAAATGATTTCACTAATGTTAACTTACTTTAAAAGATTGTATCTCCTGCTCTGTAAATTGATATTTAATCACCTAGATAAAGCTCCTACAGGGTTTAGCAAGCTATTAACAGAGCAGGAGATGATAAATTCTAAATTAAACTGAATTTGAAATAAAGGAAGTGTAAACTTTAGATGACTCTTTACAGGAAGTGTTTAGGAAGGCTTTGTAAGTCACATGCAGGGAGGTGTGATTTGGACTGCATAAACAAAATAATTTAACTCCTAAAATGGCAGAGAATTGAGCAATAAGACTGCAATGGCATGGTCTGTACACCAAACTGCTTCGTTAGCCTAAAGTTGTTTTAGTGACTACAGTGTTTCTTTAAAAAAAAAAAAATCAGAGGTAAAGGCTAATCAGCCAAGTCATACCACAAACAAACTCAGAGTTGCACAATATAGTGCTATAATAAGGAAATAAAAACCAGGCAATGTCACAAAAGCAATAATGACTGTAATTTAAAAAGAGCCTTCCAGCCTGACAATAAACTCCTCAGCTCACTAGAAATAATGCAGTGACACCAAGAAATGCACAAATATTAGGGATATCCTTAGAGTTAATGCATAAAGCACAAGAATGAACAATCTCCTTACGGATTCATGCATAACGCAAATAAATGAAGACTGGACACAGGACTATTACAATATCCCAATATATACTTTTCCTCCTTGGATGCATGGATTAAAAGCTACCCCCAACACATGAAGGCCTGACTACTCTAACTGGCACTATGCCATTTCCTCACATACATATACACATATATATAAAAAGCATTAGATTATATATAGCTTTATCTGCACCAATCTGGGACTTGCTTTATGCATGTTGGGTCTTCTTTTCATTTTAGAACATTTCCATATATTTTCTAGAATTTGTGGTTGCTTGATATCTTGCACATTAGTGACACAAGCTCATAAAAATGTGTAATTCATGAACGTAATGCACCAACTCTAAGGATATTGTTCATTCTTACACATTGTGCATTAACGGTAATGATATGTATATATACACTGAATAAAATGATAAACGCAACACTTTTGTTTTTGCCCCCATTTTTAATGAGCTGTACTCAAAGATCTAAGACTTTTTCTATGTACACAAAAGGCCTATTTCTCTCAAATATTGTTCACAAATCTGTCTAAATCTGTGTTAGTGAGCACTTCTCCTTTGCCGAGATAATCCATCCAGCTCACAGGTGTGGCATATCAAGATACTGATTAGACAGCACGATTATGGCACAGGTGTGCCTTAGGCTGGTCACAATAAAAGATGGTGTGACCACCATTTGCCTCACACAGTGCAACATATCTCCTTCGCATAGAGTTGATCAGGTTGTTGATTGTGGCCTGTGGAATTTTGGTCCACTCCTCTTCAATGGCTGTGCGAAGTTGCTGGATATTGGCAGGACCTGGAACACGCTGTCATATACGCCGATCCAGAGCATCCAAAACATGCTCAATGGGTGACATGTACGGTGAGTATGCTGGCCTTGCAAGAACTGGGATGTTTTTAGCTTCCAGAAATTGTTTACAGATCCTTGCAACATGGGGCCATGCATTATCATGCTGCAACATGAGGTGATGGTCGTGGATGAATGGCACAACAATGGGCCTTAGGATCTCATCACGGTATCTCTGTGCATTCAAAATGCCATCAATAAAATGCACCTGTGTTCGTTGTCCATAACATACGCCTGCCCATACCATAACCCCACCACCACCATGGGCCACTCGATCCACAACGTTGACATCAGCAAACCGCTCACCCACACAACAACATACACGCTATCTGCCCTGTACAGTGAAAACTGGGATTCATCTGTGAAGAGAACACCTCTCCAAAGTGCCAGACGCCATCCAATGTGAGCATTTGGTTACGACGACGAACTGCAGGTAGCTCGAGACCCTGATGAGGACGACGAGCATGCAGATGAGCTTCTCTGAGATGGTTTCTGACCGTTTGTGCAGAAATTCCTTGGTTATGCAAACCGATTGTTGCAGCAGCTGTCGGGGTGGCTGGTCTCAGATAATCTTGGAGGTGAAAATGCTGGATGTGGAGGTCCTGGGCTGGTGTGGTTACACGTAGTCTGCGGTTGTGAGGCCGGTTGGATGTACTGCCAAATTCTCTGAAATGCCTTTGGAGACGGCTTATGGTAGAGAAATGAACATTCAATTCACGGGCAACAGCTCTGGTGGACATTCCTGCAGTCAGCATGCCAATTGCACGCTCCCTCAAAACTTGTGTCATCTGTGGCATTGTGCTGTGTGATAAAACTGCACATTTTAGGGTGGCCTTTTATGGTTGCCAGCCTAAGGCACACCTGTGCAATAATCATGCTGTCTAATCAGCATCTTGATATGCCACACCTGTGAGGGGGATGGATTATCTCGGCAAAGGAGAAGTGCTCACTACTACAGATTTAGACAGGTTTGTGAACAATATTCGAGAGAAATAGGCCTTTTGTGTACATAGAAAAAGTCTTAGATCTTTGAGTTATGCTTGAGAAAAATGGGGGGAAAACAAAAGTGTTGTGTTTATAATTTTGTTCAGTGTATATATACATATATATGTTTTCTTTATTACGGTCATTCATTTTGCGTTGTAGTATTTGAAATGTTCTTCCTGACTCTTTTCAGAGATCTTACAATCATGGAGCAGGCACAAAGGAAGTGAATTATTACTGGCACATGAGGTGTAAACCCAGCACTGACAGCCAACATATTAGGGCCACACATACACACGACCAAGAATATAGCACAAGGTCTGCTGTCCTATAATCTGCAAATGGCTCCAATGTGTCACAATTTGACAATGAGCAAACCCCTTCATAAACGACATCCACAGATTCCTTGCACCATTACCACTACAAAAAGCTGTATTGGCTAGTGTCCCTTTAAGGCACGCCAGATTCATTATGTTTTCCTGGACACACATCCATTTACGTATTGACGGCGAAGAGCGCTGCCTCGTGGTATGCAGCATTCACACGCTGCTGGATGAAACCAGTTTGCCTAAAGACCCTAAAGGACCTGCTTTGATTAAATAATTGTATATCTACAGCATGTAAATACAGACTACATAAAGCAGAACTACAGACCGAAGGAAAGCCCAAGCACGCACATTAGACCTCCCCATAGGAAAGCATTGAATAATGCTTTCCTATGGGGATATCGGCGACGCTGGAGGTCCAGCATCGTAAAACACACTTTTCGTGTTCTAGTCGACAGCCACTAGAGGAGGAGTTAACCCTGCAAGGTAAATATTGCACTTTATGAAAACTGCAATAATTACACTTGCAGGGTTAAGGGTAGTGGGAGTTGGCACCCAGACCACTCCAATGGGCAGAAGTGGTCTGGGTGCCCGGAGTGTCCCTTTAAGTGAATAACCTGATAGATTTCACCACAGCCCAACCTGCATTCACACATATATTGTCACAACTTAGCTTAACTGAAAGAAAGTCACTGTCATTTCCACAAAATAAAAATATATAAATATATATTAACAAAAACACATTTTATTATAATCAACCTCAGTGCCTACAATTCCTATCATCCTCTCCTAGCCAGGTTTACTGGGTTCTCACGCTGGCCCTTTAAACTCTAGTGACGTCACCAGAGGCTGGCTTTCCTGTGATTTGTTCTTCCGGCTACACAGACAGCCAAGGATTGAGACTGAGCCCCTACAGGGACCCTGGAACCCACTGGTGGGGAGGGAAACCGGAGAGAAAGGCTGGAGGTATTGGGGGAAGGGAGAGAACCGGACAGAACGCGGTGACTGATACATTGTAACCAGACTGTGTGTGTTGTGTGTCTGTCAGCAGTGACATCACTGTCTGTGTACCCAGCACTGTATATTCATTCCATGGGATGTTATTGGTTGGGGTATACCAGCTGTACCCCCCCAGATCACAGGCTGGGCTCCCCCTGATCACAGGCTGGGCTCCCCCAGATCACAGGCTGGGCTCCCCCTGATCACAGGCTGGGCTCCCCCTGATCACAGGCTGGGCTTCCCCAGATCATGTCCAGTTAGAGACCCCCCCCCCTTACTGTTTTGGGTGTCCACTAACTGGCTGGCTCATGATCTGGACTCCTAGCCCCTGCCTGTGTAGATTACTGACTTCTTGTTCCCTGTCAGCAGCCTGTGGTGGCTAAGGGTGAGTTGTCTTCAATCTTTGTAACAGACAATCTGGCTGACTCTGTGAAAGGGGTTTATCCACTAAATTCTGCAATGTAGTGAATTATTCTATGGATGGCAACAGTCAAACCTAATTAACCAAGCTAGCACTATAGTTGAGTTGAATCATTTTTTTCCAAATCTGCAATTTTCACCTGTATTTTTTATTTTTTTGTCAAATTGGATTTCAATCAACTACAATTTTGAATTTAGTGAATAAACCTCAAAGTGCGTTTTCAGTTATTCAGCGTGAATTTTAACATTTTACACCACAGTAGCCATTTAGTGCATCTGGTTTGGTCTACAAGTTTAAGTTCGCTGTATTAAATAACCCGGATGGATTTGACTACTTTAAATTTCTGAATATTTGCACTTTATCGAATAACCATGACAGTTTTTTCTGTTCTTATCCACTGCTTGTGAGAATTTGGCTAATTTTGTTCCCTGTCAGCAGCGTGCTGTGGCCAGGTGATTTGTCTTCTACCTTTGTAACTGTCTGTGTGGTTTTGTCCCTTGCCCTGTCCTCTTGCTGTAAGTCACCTGTATTTGTCAGTTTACCTGTTGCTTATTGTGTCTCTCAGGTTTATCAGCTGGTGACGTGGGCCTTGCAATGGTTGATTACGGAAGGTGTGGTGTGAACTTTTGCTGATGTTGGAAGGTACACAAAGCGGTGGAGTTTTTAGCACTCCCCCGTTCTCCGCAAGGAAATGGCCTCCCTGTGCCTTCTGCTGCTGCTACTGTGGGCCCCTGGGGGGTCCCTGGTTATTGCAGAAAAGGACATCCAACAGATCAAGGCTGTGTTCGATAAGGAGTATAAACAATATGTAAACAGTGAACTCCAGTATATATATACCTTTAACCACACGTTGCTCAGGAACAAGGTAAGAAAACCTCCATTAACATTCACTTTATACAATGATAATGTCACAGCGTGAATATGCAATATTTTTTTTTTTTTTTTTAATATTATTATTATTATTATTATTTATATATCGCCTTAATTTTTGGCAGAGCATTACAATTATACCTGCCAAAGACTGGGCAACTATTGTCTCCATAACCGATGCTTGTAGTATCTCATACTACCCACGTATATCTCATATCAATCCAAAAAAATAAACCAAGGTATTTATTTACTAAACTTTGGCTTGTAGCAAATTTAATCCGAATGGCAAAATTTTGACTAAAATAGACAGACTGTGATTGGTTCTGAGATGGAGAATTTTTCCTATATTAACCTTAATTTTGCTTTTCGGATATCAGTTCTGTAGAAGTCAGAGTTTATCAAATAAACTCGCTGGATTTATTCGCTAATGTCACAATCCGTAGTTGAAGTCTACCTTTTAGACCCATATGGCCAAACTGTAAAAATCTGCAAGTTTTCTGTTTTACATCTACGTTGAATTTCCAACAATTCACACATTGGTGAATTCTCCTGACTATTGTTTGCTTGTTAATGACATTACGGTGTTAAGTGCTTTCAATTATTATTATTTTTTTTAACATCCCCACAAATTTTTACTGTAAGCAGTCTATGCAGATACATGCATGAAAAATAGCTCAATAGTCAAAACTATTACACTTTAATGTAGTTCTAATTGTTTCATATGCTAAAAAATGTATAGTATTGCAACGAGTTTCACTACACAGTGAGCCAGAATTTTTGAAGGACCACTATAGTGCCCTGAGGGTGCCCCCAACCTCATGGCACCCCTCCCACCAGGCTGAAGTTGGAGGAAGGGGTTAAACACTTACCTTTCTGCAGCGCCGGGCTCCCTCGGCGGTGGGGACTCTCCTCCCTCTTTGGCTGAATGCGCATTCAGTCAGTCCATGGGAAAGCATTCTCAATGTGATGAGAAAATCACAGTGAGAAGCGCGGAAGCGCCTCTAGCGGCTATCAATGAGACAGCCACTAGTGGCTGGATTAACCCATATGTAAACATAGCAGTTTCTCTGAAACTGCTATGTTTACAGCAGGCAGGGTTAATCCTAGATGGACCTGGCACCCAGACCACTTCATTGAGCTGAAGTGGTCTGGGTGCTTATAGTGGTCCTTTAAGTAATTTTAAAGGTTCAATTAATAGCTGAATTGGAAAAATCCTTCAAGTGCGCTATGGTTTTAATTTGGCCTAAATTTGAATTTTATTTTAATTTCTCTTTGAATTCCTGACCCTTCCCTCTTCCAGGGTTCTAGAAATCATATAACTGTTAATCTGTGCCCAACTTAGTTCATCTGTCATGGAAACACCGGGCTGGTTTGATTTGTTTGTTGCAAGTGAAAGGATTTGTGCACAAGTCCAGCCCTCAGACATCATGATTTTTGTTCCATCAAATGTTTCTTTGATAATAACCCCCATAGTCGGAAGCATTGCAGACACTGGGGGTTATTTATCAAAATGTTCTCAGAAATAGTGTAAAGTACATTGGTGTCTCCTCCCCTTCCACATTTTTGCCCCAATTTTTTGAACAGAACACTTTGATAAAAAAAAAAAAAAAAGCTAAATGCGCAGCTACCACCACATTCTGCACAGTCTGTGATGTCAACATACTTTGCATGCATTGAATCTCTTGTCAGAAGCCCCAGTTGGTATGTACCTGACAGTGCCTGAAGCATATGGATTACACAATGTAAACCATACTCTTTCTCAAAGTAAGACTGCGTACAACAGCAAAACTGCAGCGGCATTTATGCCCTCAAATAACTTAATTAAAGGAACACTGTGGTGTTAGGAATACATATCTATATTCCTAACGCTACTGCACGAATGCCCCTTGTAATTATGGTCCCCCCCCAATTACTCACCATTTCTCTAGTGGCAAGTCTCTGTCAGCGGTGCCGCGATGCCTCCAGGATGACGTTCCAATCCATAAAGGAGCATTGGGCACCGTAGGCACATGTGTGGCGTTCACTGACATACGCCTAAGATTCTGCCACAGAGAATACAATGACTGACAGCACTGCGCATGCACGTTGGAAGTTACTGTATGAGAACTGGGAATTAGGACTCTGGCTCTCATAGCCAGAGGACTTCAAAGCCCTCTTATTAGTATACTACAGAGTCTTGGGGTGTAGGTGTGGGGTGGCAGGAATGCAGACAGCATTAAAATGAAGTTGTAACAATTCCTACAGTGTCCCTTTTAAGACGGGGATTTTGGCGTTTAGTCTGTCCCGTCTAACGTATTTGTGCATCTAATGTGTTTCTGGCAAAACAGGTTTTCAGCCTTTAGATTACACTAATCTTCAGCACAATTTCCTGGTCACGTTAAAGGGACTTGAATAGTGCAACTGCAGGGACATGATCTACCAAAACTACGTCATTAAAATAAAGTTGTTTTAGTGCTTTGGGTGTCCCTTTTAAGTATGAAACGTTAAATGTTTCAAACAATAATGGCAGCGTTTATTCCCTAAGTCAAAATAAGCCTTAGCCAAATCTCTTGCAAATTATTATTATTTTTTTCAATGGAATAGATTTATTTATTTTATTTTTTTAAGTTTGCCAACAATGTTTCTGTATTAAAAAGACTATTTCCATTTGATTATTTTGTATTGGGTCTGTCCGTTTCTCCTTACTAACCGGATTACAAGTAGAGAACCACTTCAGATACCAATATACGTAGGTCTTTGGTCTCAGCCACGGACTTCTACTTCAGTTGATATAAAAGGTCAAAAACAATTCAAAGATTTTCATGGCTAAACAAGTAGTACGTTGCTCTCTCCTGCCTGGTATCGAATTGATTTATACACATTCAGAGTATGTACCTGATGTCAGTCATGCAGAGGAAAAAGTATATTTAACATTAAGCAGCCAGGCGATGATGAACAAATATATTTTATTTAGACAGGTTTGCAAAGTCCGTGGGAACCACAGTGTAAAGCAATGGTTCTTAAGCTCTTCTGATAGGAATCTGAATACTGTGATGGGATTGTCCCAAGAAACTGGGTGTAGCATGGGGTACTGTTATTTCTCTCCCATCCCAATTGATCTTCTGGCTAAATCCATTGGTCTAAATAGCAGACCATATCTTGCTGTCTTTCTCTATATTTCCAAATAAGTGAAATTTAAAAGCAAAGTGAGATGTTCCAAGAACGCCTCCATACTGCATTGCTACAATGCGGGTTTATCTTCCACAAGACTTTTAGAGCAATTATTCGGTGATTCAGAACCTTACATTTGGGTAACATTCACAACATTTTCCTATGATTTGTATTTTAGAGACTGATTGATGAGTTGATTCGAATTTGTCACTGTGACGGTAGTAGAAAATATCCCCGTCAAGCATTCCCTTCTTCCCATAAAAGAAAATCACCCAATATTCCACGAGTAGAAATATCCCTGGAATCGCCGAATAATCCACACATGAGCCAAAGCTTAATGCTGGAACAAGACTAATTTACTGGCACACAGAACTCACAATTTATGCAATACAAAACTCCTCCTCTGGGCCAGGCTAGATAATTGAGTTTCTACAATACACAAAGCTCAATTATCTGCTGGCCAGAAACATTACAGTTTTTAGCAATTTCAGAAACATACTTTTTACAAGACATACAAATATACTTTTAACATCCCTGGATAGCTGAGGATACTGGTAGTTACATATCCAAATCTCACAAATTTCCGTTCGGTAGTTTCCGTGTCGCATCGTGTGGAAGTTTGACCGGCTTGCCATGTGGAGGTATCCGAGTTAGAGTTCCATAAAATCAGTAGCAAGAGCCGGTCTCCGTTCGCATCTAACTACACGAAAACCACAGTTCGTATGGTTCAGCTGGTTACATGTGAATGTTCCCCTCATTCGGTAGATGCTATCTACCGAACGCCAGTTTGATTCGTGGAGGGGAACATATTCATCCAGGACTTCCATGGGGACCGGGCGTTTGCATGTTTGCCGTGCCGAAATTAGTTCCAGGCAATTCATGCGTAAGCCCCGCTGACCGCATTCGTGAGTTTTAAGATGGCCGCCATCCTTTGTTCTCGCCACGTGTTTGTATGTCGAATGGCGGCCACCTAGTAGCAATTAAGTCGCAGTTTTCTCTGCGTTCTAATGCTGATTTGCTACCCAGGGTGTGTGGTCTCCGTTCGGTAAACAAATACATTCATTCCATTCATATTGAACCGAACTGATACAGGCATTTAAACAACAGGGAGAAGGTTTAACTGAAGGCACACAGGTAAATACATGAAAATCCTCCACAGTCACAAATTGCGATTTATACTGACCCGAATTAGCCATTAATCATGGTCTGAATTAATAAGGAATTTAAATCCAACAAAATTTCTAACTAGTACCGTGACCAATGAATCTGCCTATGGTCAGCATCAGCGGATGGCAAGTATGTTCTTAATTTAAATAAATTATAATAATTGATACTCCTGTGAAGCCAGCTTTACTGATGTGTGTCGAGTCAGATATATCTTCTATAGAAACATTAAAATCTACTACTACTACTACAGTTTGAATTGGATGAAGCAGGAAACCCACGGGACTGTCAAGCCAGCAAGTGTTACTGCTAAAGTGGGATAGGAACTTCTGCTTTAGTAAGAACACAGAAAATCAGAAAGACGACAGGATCCCAAGGGATCAAGGGAAATGTCAAACTGTGCAAAACCAATTCGACTCCTGGCATCTTAACTGCTACAGCGCACTGTAGTGACGATGGTGCCTGGAGTTCCCCCTATAAATCCAAATTTCTGTCAAGCCTTTTGTTAATTATTGTTGATCTACACTGAACAAAATTATAAACGCAACACTTTGGATTTTTGTCCCCATTTTTAATGAGCTGAACTCAAAGATCTAAGACTTTTTCTATGTACACAAAAGGCCTGTTTCTCTCAAATATTGTTCACAAATCTGTCTAAATCTGTGTTAGTGAGCACTTCTCCTTTGCCGAGATAATCCATTCACCGCATAGGTGTGGCAAATCAGGATGCAGATTTGTGAACAATATTTGAGAGAAATAGGCGTTTTGTGTACATAGAAAAAGTCTTAGACCTTTGAGTTCAGCTCATGGAAAATGGGGGCAAAAACAAGTGTTTATAATTTTGTTTAGTGTATGTTAACATAGATCCCATGCGACACATGCGAATAAAGGAACATTCTGATCCCTTGAACCACTACAGTCTATTGAAGTGGTTACGGTGGAAAAATCTGTAGGTGCTCCTATCGTGCACATAAAGACCGAACCGTCTACTGGCATCCAGATATGAGGAATATTAACTTCTCCACGTTTTTTCTACAAATCCGTACAAATTTGGAGGGCAGTAATATTCTGTGCTCTGCTAAGCTCTTGCTCACAGCTTAATGTTAACGTCCAAAACTAGAAGGGAGTGTATCCAAACCCTCCTTGCGCCATACAGTCGGCAATAAACTGTTATAATTCAACAAACGGTAGTGTTATGTTCATGGTAGTAAGAAGTTGCGATTAGCACCTTGATGTGACCTCAGGTGATATTTGCAATGAGAAACAAGTTGACAAAAGGAGGGTACTTTAGTTTAAAGGAGTATGGAGGAAAAAGAGACACATTTACAGGAAAGGAAGATATTAAATAGCTCCAAACGTGATGTACTTGAGCTGCCACTTCCTCATTTCTTCCGGACAAGAGAGACTCCGACTTGGGTTGTTCCAGCTGCTATTTTCTATTTACCAGTCCCCTTTTATTGCCGTACCTTATTTTTGTGTGTATTATAATGTTTTTTATTTTAGTGTCCATTTAATTGACAAATCACAGAACTTATAATATTGTTATAACGTACAAGGCATTAATGTTTTTTTGTGTTTTTAATGCGGGGGGCCCAGCAGTGTCCCTTTAAGAAAGCGAGGATTGCTTAAGAAACCGTGCAGTACTTTCCATCTCCGGTTACCTGGATACTGTGTATCGTCTTTATCATCCTTTTGTCTGTTGTACTAGCAGACACATGACCTTGCTACAAGCGTATCGGTTACTGTACGATACACACATTGCCATGCTGCGTGGGTAATGGTGTGTGACAACGGAGCATCCTGTGACTGTGTGTGTTTTAATTAAGGACTGTAAATTTACCTGTTTGTAACTATGTCTGTTTGTTTTTACCATGTGGTCCTATGCAGGGGTGTGACATGATGGGGGGGCATTTTATCAATGTGTTCTGAAAAGTGACTGTTAAATTCCGTCATTATTTTGATTGTTTTTGTAAGTGATCTAAAAAGTTCAACTTTTCCTTAGTAAATCCCGCCAATGAGATGCCACAGGCATTAAGCACTGTGGCATATATGTGTGGTGGCAATAAAGAGTTAAGTTGCCCGGTTGGTACAGCTAGGGAAGGTTTAGTGAGAGTTAATGACCCCTGGTTAGGTTGTTAGGCAGAGTGGGGACAAGTAGCTGGGCAGACTTGGTGACACAGCTGTTGTTGGCCGCGAGCAAAGCGCCGGAAGCTAGGTAAGAATAAAAGGTGGCAGCGCGAGCTCAATCCCTGTCAGCTGTTTGCAGGACAGGAGAAGCACGGACGGACCGCCGCCCTCCCTCCTTCCCTCCCCTATTTGCAAACTTTCTTTCTAATTAATGTTGTGGTGTTAGAAAGCATTGGGGCAAAGTCATCCTCAGGTTGAAGTTTTGAGGAAGGATATGTGTTAAATGGTTGTATATAAAAGGCGGTCTGGTTAGCTATGACTGACTGGCAATTAAGTGATGGTGAAAGTTAAAAGTTTTGGAAGTAAAGTGAAACATTTATGTAAATATGTTACTGTTATCAAGTTATGGTGGAATGCCCCTTTTATGCTTTAAAGAAACACCACAGCCTAGCCCATTTAAATAAAAGAAACTGTGTCTGTGTTTATTGTGTGGTTTAAGTTATATATGAGAAATATTGCCTACCATACATATTTTACAGACATTTCCATTTCTTAAGACTGTCGAATTTACTCACACCAGGCCGACCTGCCAGCATTGTGGGCAGACACGCCCTCTTTCTGTGCATGTCTGCCCCTTTTGGACAGAGCCTATGGAGCAATTGTGCCACTGTCCTGCCTCCCTTCCTTTCATCCCACCGGCGTCACGATTCTGGGACTGCAGATGTTGGGAGGTATACGAGAGTGTCTGGGGTGGATGGAGGAAAAAAGGAAATGTGGGGAGGGTGGTGTCAGGCAAGCTTAAAGGACCACTATAGTGCCAGGAACAAATACTAGTTTTCCTGGCACTATAGTGCCCTGAGGGTGCCCCCACCATCAGGGTCCCCCTCCCGCCTGGCTCTGGGGAGAGGAAAGGGGTAAAACTTACCTTTTTCCAGCGCTGGGCTGGGAGCTTTCCTCCTCCGATCCTCCTCCGTTCCTCCCATTCGGCTGAATGCGCACGCACGGCAAGAGCTGCGCCCGCATTCAGCCGGTCGCATAGGAAAGCATTATCAATGCTTTCCTATGGACGCTTGCGTGCTCTCACTGTGATTTTCACAGTGAGAATCACGCAAGCGCCTCTAGCGGCTGTCAATGAGACAGCCGCTAGAGGAATTGGAGGAAGGATTAACCCATTTGTAAACATAGCAGTTTCTCTGAAACTGCTATGTTTATAAAAAAAAATGGGTTAATCATAGCTGGACCTGGCACCCAGACCACTTCATTAAGCTGAAGTGGTCTGGGTGCATAGAGTGGTCCTTTAACTTTGCAGGTGCTGCTTGCAATGAAAAAGCTCAGTCCGTCTGTCAGGCCGCTGAGCGTGGTAAAGGCGTAGTTTTTGCTCAGAATTCACAAGTGCCTAAGTCACAAATGCTGTGCAACTAGTGCCCAGCAAAACTGTGAATATATCTCTGGACGTGCAGCTTTTCAAGCAGAAGCCCTGCACCTAGTCTCCTGCCACCATAACAACTTCTAAAAGCAGAAGTAGTCATGGTGGTTAGAGTGCTTGCAAGATTACAGATCTGTCCACTGACATCTTCACATTCATTTCCTATCTCCTTGGTCATTTCTCACTCCTTTCTCTGTTCCTCTACTTATCATTTTTTTTCTTGCTTACTGTATGGTGACATTGGATTTTATTCCCATAACTCCAAATAGTACTGAATTAAAATCTGAACTGCAGAACTGGGTCAGCAATAGCTGAATTTGGAAAAATCTCCAACCTATCTCATGTCACCGCTCGGCTAGCGTAGCCTTCATTTCGAAGTTTGTTGTATTTTAATTTTGGTACAATTTGGCATTTATTAAATATCCCAGTTTGATGTCAATTAGCTAGATTTGTAGCGCTCCAGAATATACGTATATCTGTATATCTTCCTGAAGAAAACCTTTCAAAAGAATTAAAGTGGTACAATGATATACAGATTATTAAAATATTAATGTTCTGTAAGCACCTTCTGTTAATGCAGATGTTAACTTCCTAAGACACTTTACTGAAACTCTAAATTTTTTGATGTACTTCTTATTAAAAGAGGAAATTGTGGTTGTTTTTTTTTATTTATTTTTATTTATTTATTGTTATTATGGAGCTTAAAGGACGAAGTGGCACTGTTTAACCTTTAACCTGCCTTGTGTGTGCAACTTAATCTTTTAATAGTAACCTAATCCTGAAACTGAGCTTCCCCCACGCCCCCCTTGTGAACATAACAATGCATAAACACTAATATGTGAGAAACAAACGTGAAAAGTCATACCCCAAGTATTTCTCACAAAAATATATAAAAAGATGTCGGTCTTTGTTTGTGGAATGATTATAATTTATATGTTCGTATGGTGTTTTTTAAGATGTAAAAAAAATAAAAAATTCTGAATAACGAATATTTAAAAAAACAAAAACAAACACTATATATATAAAAAGATAAAGAATGAGGGAAATCCATAATACACGTGTAAATATATAAATGGTTTTCTTTCATTACCTCAGGTTGTCACATTTTCATACAAATTTTGTTCTTACCTTATTAAGTAATTGTCACCTAGTAGTTAATGGAAATATAACCCAGTTTGAATAGTTTAACTATTTATGATATTATAGTTTCTAGATTACTGTAATAAACTGCTTATTTTTATTTTAATCTGTCCTGTGTTGGTTGGTTTTATTTGGGTATCAAACAGTCTTTGCAACGTTTCAACCATCTAAGGGGCTTTAACAAGCCCACTGAGGTTCCACTGTTATTCAGAAGTGTATTTTTGCTGACTGTCAATTTAAAAAAAAAAAGTTTTTTTAGTATATATAAATAAAAGTGGAAAAAGAACATGTATTTTTTTTTTTTTCTCCTCGAAAATCCAAGCTGTTAATAAATGGAATATGTTTCACAAAAGATAAAATTACAGAAAAATTTAAAATAAATATTGGTAAAGATGGTCAGAAATGATACCCGTAAAAAATTGCTCTGTTTTTATGAGGACCTTTTTGATTTATCTCCTGCAATGTGTTTTTTATGACTGTTTTTTGCTTCCCTTTAGACAGAAGGAGTCAGAGTATCTGTTAACATGTTATCTGATCAGAAAGTGACGCCTTTACTGGTCGTGGTGAGGCAGAAGGAGGCTGTGCTGTCTTTTCAAGCTCCACTCACTCTCCGAGGACTGTAAGTGGCCATCCTTGTAACACTCAGAATATGGATAAAGCTAGCTCGATGCTTCTTAAAGGAACACTATAGGGTCAGGAAAACAAACATGTATTTCTGACCCTATTGTGTTAAAACCACCATGTAGCCTCTCTAAATATAGTAAAATCTTACTTGTATTCAAATCTGAAGCTGCTGGCTCTGCCCCTGTCTGCTGACACCATCAGAAGTGGTGGTCTGAACCAATCACAGTGCTTCCCCATAGGATAGGCTGAGACTGTCAAGGAGGCAGATCAGGGGCAGAGCTAGCACAAGCCAAACACAGCCCTGGCCAATCAGCATCTAGCACAAGCCAAACACAACCCTGGCCAATCAGCATCTCCTCATAGAGATGAATTGAATCAATGCATCTCTATGAGGAAAGTTCAATGTCTGAATGCAGAGGGTGGAGACACTGAATGGCAGTGCTGCTTACTTTGCAGCACTGCCCCAGGAAGCACCTCTAGTAGCCACCTGAGGAGTGGCCAGTGAAGTTGTCACTAGGCTGTAATGTAAAAACTGATTTTCTCTGAAAAGACAGTGTTTACTGCAAAAAGCCTGCAGGGCATGATTCTACTCATCAGAACAAATTCAATAAGCTTCTGGTGACTATAGTGTCCCTTTTAAACTTTTTTTTTTTTCCTCTTTAATATATAAACAAGGACCAAAATAATGTGCATGGCATTAGCCTGATGCTCGGTGACCGAATTCTAATTGTAAAATTGAAGATTATGCTATCTTTAGTGAACTTATACTCTTCATTTTTGTAATGACAGGAGGTGGATATTTTGTTTATCTCTCATTATTAAACTCAGCACAAATCATAAAGGACACGTAAACCAATAAGGGGTAATATTACCCCTTGTACCCAGAAGCACGTCCTCGTTCTTTGCTGTACCTGCGTCGGCGCAGGTCCGAGTTTTGGCTTCAGTGGCCTTACCTTTTTACTTTCTCACAAATTGACATTTTACTCTTTGTTTTTGATTGATCAGGTTGTTTTATTGCTAATCCTTTTGTGCACTTTAACCTATCTGTCCCCTTTCATTCCCTTATATTACTTCCTACTTGTATAGGTATCTCTGTATTGTGCCCAGCTCTGTGTATTGTATATATTTATCTCTGTATTGTGCCCGGCTCTGTGTATTGTATAGGTATCTCTGTATTGTACCCGGCTTGGTGTATTGTATAGGTATCTCTGTATTGTACCCGGCTCTTTAATTGTAGCGGTATCTCTGTATTGTGCCCAGCTCTGTGTATTGTAGAGGTATCTCTGTATTGTGCCCGGCTCTGTGTATTGTATAGGTATCTCTGTATTGTGCCCGGCTCTGTGTATTGTATAGGTATCTCTGTATTGTGCTCGGCTCTGTGTATTGTATAGGTATCTCTGTATTGTACCCGGCTTGGTGTATTGCATAGGTATCTCTGTATTGTACCCGGCTTGGTGTATTGCATAGGTATCTCTGTATTGTGCCCAGCTCTGTGTATTGTAGAAGTATCTCTGTATTGTGCCCAGCTCTGTGTATTGTAGAAGTATCTCTATATTGTGCCCAGCTCTGTGTATTGTAGAAGTATCTCTGTATTTTGCCCAGCTCTGTGTATTGTAGAGGTATCTCTGTATTGTGCCCAGCTCTGTGTATTGTATAGGTATCTCTGTATTGTACTCGGCTCTGTGTATTGTATAGGTATCTCTGTATTGTGCCCAGCTCTGTGTATTGTAGAGGTATCTCTGTATTGTGCCCAGCTCTGTGTATTGTATAGGTATCTCTGTATTGTGCCCAGCTCTGTGTATTGTAGAGGTATCTCTGTATTGTGCCCAGCTCTGTGTATTGTAGAGGTATCTCTGTATTGTACCCGGCTCTGTGTATTGTAGAGGTATCTCTGTATTGTGCCCGGCTCTGTGTATTGTAGAGGTATCTCTGTATTGTGCCCAGCTCTGTGTATTGTAGATGTATCTCTGTATTGTACCCAGCTCTGTGTATTGTAGATGTATCTCTGTATTGTACCCAGCTCTGTGTATTGTAGATGTATCTCTGTATTGTACCCAGCTCTGTGTATTGTAGAGGTATCTCTGTATTGTACACAGCTCTGTGTATTGTAGAGGTATCTCTGTATTGTGCCCAGCTCTGTGTATTGTAGAGGTATCTCTGTATTGTACCCAGCTCTGTGTATTGTATAGGTATCTCTGTATTGTGCCCAGCTCTGTGTATTGTATAGGTATCTCTGTATTGTGCCCAGCTCTGTGTATTGTAGAGGTATCTCTGTATTGTACCCAGCTCTGTGTATTGTATAGGTATCTCTGTATTGTGCCCAGCTCTGTGTATTGTATAGGTATCTCTGTATTGTGCCCAGCTCTGTGTATTGTAGAGGTATCTCTGTATTGTACCCAGCTCTGTGTATTGTATAGGTATCTCTGTATTGTACCCGGCTCTGTGTATTGTAGAGGTGCACTTGAGGAATTGTAGGTATTGGATAGTGTAGCTAAAACGTAATCTAATCACTTACTTACAATATGACTTACAATATGCTGTAGTTAAATATCCTTGGGAAGTAAACTCTCGCCCTCCTGGTTGTCCTTTAAACTGTTATGCAAACATTGCTCATAAAACATATGAATGAAAGTGAATTTATGTTTAAATTGAAATAACCAGAGTTGAATTAAGTTATTCCGATTTTTAGATTAATTTCCTGTAAAACATATGAAGTTCCTTTTTCACAAAGCGTTCCTTCCGCACGGTTGATGTGCAGCTCAGATCTGCCCTCACACAATATCTGGAATTTGGAAAAAACTGAAAAATCACGATCAAAATAATACTTTGAGGGGAAAAAATCCTATTTGTTTATTTTATTGTAAAAATAGTGATTTTTAATTGAGATATCAAACAGATGAGCAAAAATCTTTTTTTTTTTTTTTACGTATTTATTTTTATATAGTTGTGGCGATGCAGTAATTAAATTGTGGGTTTCAAAAATCTTAGAACCCTGCGTTTAGCAGCAAGACGGAAAAATAGAGAGAGCCCAGTTTGTAGAGAGAGCCCAGTTTGTTTATGAATGAAATCAGCTGTTCTATATCTCAGAGATTTAAAAGATAAGGTGTCTCCAACTGAAATACTGAGGTCTATCTCACATACACACACACACCGCGTCGGGTCACTTGTGGGTGTTCTCTTGCACCCATTACCACGAGAATGTCCAAATAGCTTGACAGTTCATCAGTGGAATTCTAGTGTACAATGGATGTCATTCGCAATGTGTATTTCCAGTTGATCTACATTACCATGTATGCAATATGTACACGTTTATGTGTGTGGCTACTCCCTCTCAGGTATCAACGTAACTATCTGTACAAAGATGTTGGCCGCACGTTGTGTCAGCCCCCAACAAAAGCAGAATCTGTGACCCAGTACTTCTATGTGGACGTATCCACTCTCTCGGAAAAGAACACAACGTATCGTCTGAGCGTCACACACCTTGATAACTTTGTACTGTGGTAAGTCAATCTCTAGAATTTATTTGTTGCTTTGATATAAACTATAAGTGGATTTCACACTCCTATGTGTTTATTTTAGGACAGAAGAACGATTCACCTTTAACGCCACTCCTTCTCAGCCACAGGTATATGTCTAATAAAAGCAACGTTTCCCCAATGTGTCAGTGGGGTCTTTAAGATTTAATGCCCCTCCTCTATTTTTTTAATTTTTAAAAACTTTTTTTTACTAATAAAATAAATATTCTTTTTGTTCTAAAGAGTTAAATATGTTCTTTATGTATTTATCTTGGCTGTGTGTCCTGGCATATTTGTATGTTTATATAAAAAGAGGCTCGATTGCTCTGTGTAGGTCAGGGGTGTGTCTGTGTTCTGTTATAACATGAAGTGTGTCTGCAACTAGTCTGCCCCCGGCTGGCTCAGACCATGTTTGGTTAGTGGTACAGTAGTACTAAAAATATTTGTTCTTCCTGTTTTTTGTTGTTGTTTTTTTTTAAGTTCTCTAGCAGGATTTCGTCATCGCTGTTCCCAGTGATTTAACCTTTTCCTTATAAATTATCCTCCAGTTAATACTTTAGTCCAATATCTGGACATAAAAGCAGCAAATGTTTTATTCTAGCAAGTTACAGTCAAGTATACACTAAAAGATGCATAAATGTCAAATAATACAGATGGAAGTCAATAGATATTTCGCTCAGTAGGCCAATCAGGGAGCGGTAGGAGCAGTAGGGGAGCCAATCCGATAATTCAGTCAACATTTCCAAACAAAAGGCAAGGAGCAACATTTGGAATGGATGTTCGGTCTGTCCTATACAAGGGTGTATGAATGCTAGACTGTAGTGATCAACCATTATTATTAGAAAACTGGGCAGACTAGAAGGGCCGAATGGTTCTCATCTGCCGTCACATTTTATGTTTCTATTATTTATTCATTCAATCAATGACAGAGGCAGAGCTTGGCTTGGCCAGTGACCAATCCCCTTCCTTCATAATCTCTTCTCTTCCCAGTATTATTGGTCACATTAATCCATTGATTCAGAATAAAATGAATTTAGCACAGTATTTTTTTCTCTGAATGAAGCTGTTGACATGATAGTGCTTGCGTGTGTTTGTGGCACCGTCTCCTTCACAAAATATTACGGTGGCTTTCAAGGGGAGGTAGGGCAGTTCTGTATTCATTATACAAATGGGAATGACTGACGATATTTTCTCATTATCGTTCACTGTATTTTTTTTTTTCCTTTTTCCATGGATTTCCTTTGTGTATTAGACTCCGTTTAATCCCCGTACACCTTTCCATTCTCTACAATCTTTCTAACTATTGTTTTCCTTTTGATTTCTTACAGTATTTCAAGTATGTGTTTAAAGAAGGGGTGGATTCTGTGATTGTCAAGGTGTCCTCTCCTATGGCATTCCCCTGCTCAGTCATCTCAATACAGGATATCCAGGTAAGGCTTGAGGAGTGGGCACATCCAGAGTTCTGATCTTACATAAAACATTTGAGGAGTAGGGTGTTGGTTTCAATGCGAGTTGTATTTTTTATTAATCCGTCACTTTTCAGGAATTTTAGGATCCACACCACTGTATTAAACTCTGCCCCTTGCTCTTGTCAGCCAGCCTAGAGAGAACACAGAAAGAGGAGGAGTAACTGAAACAATGTTCCTATTTCTCTTCCTTTGATACACTGTGTGCCCCGGTTGTGCCAGTATCGATTTGGGCTGTGTTGCTATTTGGTAAATCTTTTCATTCTCAATGTTTTCTTCAATCGTTTCATTTTCAGTTCTTCTATAAATGGACAATCGACTGCCAAAGTAAATTTTCAAAATCTGTTTAGTGGGTATACACGAAATAAAAACCTGTGTCCATATTTTTTTTTTTTTCATTGGTGTTGTGTCTAAACACAGCTTGCAAAGACGGGCGATCTCTTATCCTCTGTGTGTGCAAGCCCTCCTCTCCTAACCCCTCCCATACTTTCTGTGGCTGTCCAATCACAGACTTTCCAACGCAGGTCAATGAAAAGTCTTTGCAAGGCAGGTGCTCTGGGCAATTGCTGCCTCTTGAGTTGAGCTCCACTGAGTTAACCAAACCAGGAAGTAACAGGACCTGTTGTCTGATTGAAAGCCAGTGTCAATTTATTAACAGCCAGGTTAAAGGATCACTAAAGTGTCAGTAAAACAAACACGTTTTCCTGACACTATAGTGCCCTAAGGGTGCCCCCACCCTCAGGGTCCCCTTCCCTTGGCGCTGAAGGGGTCCAAACCGTGAGGGACCTGGCAACCAGACCACTTCATTGAGCTGAAGTGGTCTGGGTGACTATAGTGTCCCTTTAACTTCTATTGAAATCTTCACTTTTTGTAAAATGGGGAAAAAAGGACACACTGTTCACACAGCAAGCTAAAGTGCTTTAGGAGTCTGGAGTGTTCCTTTAACTGATGCTGGAGCAGGACATGCTATATTTGCATGGACATCAGAAATGCAGTCGCAGTGTTAGCATCATGTAGTGTAGAATAGTTAGGTGTGATGTAATAAGCTGATGGCCGGTGAGTTGCGTACATTTATAGAGAAGCTTGCGTTGGAGTGTATTGCTAATAGTACATACCTTTACACCCTCCACTCTTCTTGTCTTACAGTGCCCAGTGTATGACCTCGATAACAATGTGGCCTTTATCGGCATGTACCAGACAATGACCAAGAAAGCCGCCATTACTGTACAGGTGATACACGAAGTGGTCCTGCCACATTTTCTCTCCATCTTTCCTCCTCGAACACATTCTGTGTTATCCCACTCTTACCTTTATCTCATCATGCACACCCTTACCTACACTTGCACGCTCTCTACCTCTGTCTTTGTCATTCTGTAGAGGAAGGATTTTGCCAGCGGTAGCTTCTATGTTGTGGTGGTGGTTAAGTCTGAAGATGAAGCCTGTGGTGGTGGCCTTCCTTACTATCCGTTAAACCCAGGTAAGTACACCTCACTGTAGTTTGCACAAAATCGTTAAGGGACAAAAGGTGCTAAATTAAAAATATAATCCAGTGCAGCCAATAATCACCCAGGTGTATTGTCACTTTATACACACTGACAATAAATACCACAACAACCAAAAAAATTTAATAGCACACACTTTGGTTATATTTACCTTATTATATAGTCACTGATTGGTCTTTTTAAAATACTTATATAGACCCTGTATAATATAGATCTAAAAACGCCAGTGTAATATGTACACACAATATGAAAAAAGGGAGGTAAATTGGAACACTCACAATTTACAGAGCCATTCTAAAGATTGGCTCTGACTATAGATGTATTTCATCCACATAAAGTGATAGCTGGATAATGTAGTGGGAACATAGTGGTGTTGAAAACATCCAATGGAAACAGGAACCAAAATAATAAATATTAAGAGTAGTATTAAAAGTAAGACAACTTTTATTTGTATCAGTATCTTTAAAATTAGAATAAAAAGGCAGAACGCGTTTCAACTCAGTCTTCCATAAATACCCTCCTAACAAATGTAATAAAAGTAAATGTCACTGGCTGTCTTCGCCTGGTTCTCGTGTAACGGTCTCTCACAGTCCCTTTTTGTGTGTTTCAGATACGCCGATGGATCACGGGACTCGTGAGAAGACTCTTGAAGTTCTGATCAGCCCTGCAATTGGCAGTACGTGGGTGTATAGAAGGGAGGGAGCGTCACTGTGTAACAGTTTGTCTCTGTATGTAAGCGCCACACTGGGCCTGCTGATAAAGGACGTGAATGTTTCCATAACACATATGAGCCATGATTATGTTGCATTTTCATATTTGTGGTTGTTCATCTCCAAGAACAGACGTCTAGTATCATGACTTGCAATGCATGCTAGTACGGTTTTACAATTTACTGAGGTGTATAATGCAGCAAAGGTAGGTTAAGATAAACTTACCCCCTATATCTGTGGCATTCCCATCACCACGTGATGTCGTAGTTGTGCTTCTAATCAGAAAAAAACGTTGTGTGCTCGCCTGGCGTTTTCTCCACTGGTGCCATGGGCTTTAACTCCTTTATATACTTTGCCTGGAACTAAAAGAACATTCAAAGCATTTTAAAATAATTTTGTCACAACCTACAGCGAGCTTATCATTAGATATTATGTTGTGCTATCACATTAATGTACCGCTCTACAGTAGTGGAATTTGGAAAACACTTGCAGTATATCTATATTTTAGTTATATCCAAACGCACAGATCTTGAGTCATTTACTAATCAGTTTATAGGGTTATAATCGACTTTTCAGGTCCTTGGTGTGGACTGTTTGTTTAACATTGTCTTGTTTTGTTTCTCTAGCATCTCCTGTTTATCACCAGCATCCCTGTCATAATATTTTCGGTTCCCCTTTAAATCCAATCTAGTAAAACCTATCTCAGCTTTTTCTTCTCTCCCCTGTTTCCCCCATGCGTCTCTCTCACTTTTACATTTTTTTTCTTCCATTCTGATTATTACGCTTTCTTTCCATTCTTAAGCATGTCTCCCTTTGCTTTTTCATCTCACAGAGGAGACCTACATTGGAGGAATTCTGTTCTGCTTTGGTGTGTTCATGTCCTTCTACTTATTGGCTTTGTTCATACCCTGCTGGGAGAAATGGAGGTAAGAGAGAGTGGTGTGTTGGGGTCCGTGAATGCATATTACATTATCTCTGTATCTTTAATAATCTAACAAATACATGGTGCTACGAAAGCCACAAAACTTAGTGCAGATCCCTGCTCCCCTCATTTTATGGTGATTTATCATTTTAAGCAAAAGCATTACAAGGATAGAAAAATCACCAGAATGTGTCCTAAGCACTCCCTTGTCCTGAAGTCCTCGGGAACAATCCTTCCCCGGGTAAGCAAACACACATGTAAAATGTAGGGGTCACCTCACAGCAGTTAGCCACCTAATTTAGAATTGATCTTTATTAACTATATATTAAAATTAATCCTATGCTAGTGGCCGCTCACAACAGGTTCAGAATGTTTTCCGATTTTGAGAAAGTACGCATTAGATGCCCAAAGTGCGTTGATCGTTGCCTATCCCGCATCAATGTTCTTTGGAATATTGTCCACATGGAATGTATTGTAACATTAACTAATAATTTTGGATTGTAATTAAAGCGGATAAATTGCGAACAAATCCCAACGTTTTTACAGGTGCACACACAAGATCCTGTCTGGAATTCATACATATTTAAAAGGAATAAACTATTTGACATTTAAAATTCTACTATAGACACTATAGTCACCAAAACAACTTTATTTTAATGAAGCAGTTTTGGTGTATAGATCATGCCTCTGAAGTCTCACTGCTCAGTTCTCTGCTATTTATGAGTTAAATCAGTTTTGTTTATTTATGCAGCCCTAGTCATACCTCCCCTGGCTGTGACAGACCCAATCTGCATGGAAACAAAATGGTTTCATTTTCAGATGTAACTTACTTTAAAAGTTTTTATCTCCTGCTCTGTAAATTAAACTTTAATTACATACAGAAGGCTCCTGCAGGGTCAAGCAAACTATAAACCATGTAGTAGATGAGAGTTTTTAATTGAAACAGAATTTGCAATAATGGGTGTAAAGTGTAAACATTAGATCACTCTTTACAGGAAGTGTTTAGGAAAACTATGTAAGTCACATGGAGGGAGGTGTGCCTAGGGCTACATAAACAAAGTGACAGAGAATTGAACAGTGATACTGCAGGGGCATAATCTATACACCAAAACTGTTTGTTTAAGCTAAAGTTGTGCTGAGCTCCAGTGAGAACATTCTCTTTGTGTCCACTGCTTTTATTATCTTATGCATAGAACTGTAGTTTTTGCCAAACGCTGTGCCCTTTATTTAATACACTTTCCAAATGATTTAATAAATTTATAAAAACCTTCCAAATGATTTATCTATTCACCATTAAAGGTACTCTCCAGTGCCAGGAAAACATCCTCCTGCAGTGCCCCCCTCCCTCTCACCCCCCATCCCATGTTGCTGAAGGGGTTAAAGAGGTTAAAACCCCTTCAGTGACTATCCTGAATCCAGCGCCAAAGTCCCTCGGTGCTGGGTCAGGCTCCGCCCACGCTCCTCCCAATGGCCACGCGCGCGCATGCAAAAAAGTATTTAATATATTTAGAAACATAGAATGTGACGGCAGATAAGAACCATTCGGCCCATCTAGTCTGCCCAATTTTCTAAATACTCTCATTAGTCTCTGGCCTTATCTTATAGTTAGGATAGCCTTATGCCTATCCCACGCATGCTTAAACTCCTTTACTGTGTAAACCTCTACCACTTCAGCTGGAAGGCTATTCCATGCATCCACTACCCTCTCAGTAAAGTAATACTTCCTGATATTATTTTTAAACCTTTGTCCCTCTAATTTAAGAATATGTCCTCTTGTTGTGGTAGTTTTTCTTCTTTTAAATATAGTCTCCTCCTTTACTGTGTTGATTGCCTTTATATATTTAAATGTTTCTATCATATCCCCCCTGTCTCGTCTTTCCTCCAAGCTATACATGTTAAGATCCTTTAACCTTTCCTGGTAAGTTTTATCCCGCAATCCATGAACCAGTTTAGTAGCCCTTCTCTGAATCCTCTCTAAGGTATCAATATCCTTCTGAAGATACGGTCTCCAGTACTGTGTACAATACTCCAAGTGAGGTCTCACCAGTGTTCAGTACAATGGCATGAGCACTTCCCTCTTTCTACTGCTAATACCTCTCCCTATACAACCAAGCATTCTGCTAGCATTTCCTGCTGCTCTCATTATATTGTATTATTATTCTCATTATTATTGTATAATGTATAGAATGTATTTAATGAAATATGTAAATATTATTTTTTGTTACTAAGTGTGTCTGGCATAGAATTTGTAATTGCTCGTTCATTTCCTAGTTTAGTGAATAGCTCTAATAATTTTTGTATGTTCTGGTACTTGTTTATGCAGAAAGGGGAGAAAAGACGCAGGACTGCTGAACTCTGTGGGATCGATAAACGATGAAACAGGTAATTCTCTAGAATGAGAGTCTTGTGCAGAGAACATCTTCAAAGTGACGTGTAGTCTGGAACACAGGCAGGGTTATTACTAAACTGGACATTTTTTGCAGAATTTCAAGTTAATTATAATGGTTTGACCAAAACAGCCGAGCCGTTTAAATATCTGTGGGCATTTATTAAGATATAGGTGTGTGTGTGTGTATATAAATGTATATATTGTGTGTGGTGGTGGGGGTGGTGGTGGTTGTTTTTTGTTTTAAAAAAAGTAAAAAATTATTATAGTGTTATGGAAAATAATGAAATTGAAACTTTATAAATATTTACTTTAATAGTGTCTATCTTGCCATTATGAGGAACTTAAACCTGGTAGTATGAACCCTTGCAGCTAAATATGTGTTAATTGACCTTTTCATACTCTTCGGGGAAGATATAATATTGAGCGCTGTGAAAAAATAAAGAAGATACTGTTATTGTTGGGATGGATAAGACCATTGTAAGACATTGGAGAGCATTGGTGAAATCTATCTTTGATGGATGAAACTTTATAATCCGGTGCCTGGTCCTTCAGAAAGAAAACATTTCTTAGTGATGAACACCTACTAACTCTTTCAGCTTGTCCATGGGCGAGCTATCCGTATCCTAACCACTTAAAGCAGTTTAGCTCTCTGAATTGCGTCATGTGTCCTCCTTACTTTTTATTGTTTTTGTTTTTCTTCTCATTGTACAAAAAGTGCAGATCTCAATAGAAATTGGCACTTTTTTATATCAACTTTTGTTACAACAATGAAAAAATGCATTAATAAATTCATGCATGTTTTCATTGTTTTTTTTAATTTTTTTTAATTTTTTTTATTTTGGGCAGTGGGCTGTCCCTTAAATGTTAGAACCGAACATCCTATGTATCCATGGAACCTAGCCAATTCATCACACTCGGACTTTCTTCTAGCGATGTCCAATGCAATTTGTGAACCAATTTCCCTGTCTCTGTTGTTTGATACATTTAGTATCTTGATTAAACCTCAGTATTCCTCATTTGAAAATCATTCAATAGTTTTAGCTCCTTTTTGACTGTATAAAATACTTCCTGGTAAATATTATAAATTTATTATAAATTAAATGTGGGCTTCTGGCCAATTGTCGTATGGAAAGATTAAGCCGCCTTATGTGTGAGATCTAGACTGCCAACTAAACATGTCTAGGTGTCAGAAGTTTAACACCCTCTAATTAACAAGTGGAATTGTGAGATTGTTGTCTTGTTATATAATTACCGGTAATTATTTTCTCTTTCTGCTCTGTACGTTCTTCTCATTTCCAGCATCGCTGCTCGGTAAGATTTTACTGGATGTGAAGGGAAAGGTTTAATATCACTGTATCCACCGTATAACATAACATGCATGTTTAACACTTGGGGCAGGTCGTGCTACATTGTGTTAGTCTGTTCAGCTTTCTAACCCTCCTGCAGTGTGTGCAATATAACACGTGAAGTCTACTCACCCACTATGTTGTTGTAATAAATCTTTTGTGGGGAATATTTTTAGAAGTGGTTAGGCAAACAGCAAAGTGTGAAACTTGCATTGCATGCACAGAGCTTTTTAATTTTGTGGAATATGTATATATTATCTGCCAATGAAAGGCTCTTATTTCTATTTTAGAGGAGATATTTGAGAGTTCTCTACAGCCACTACGTTTCTTAAAGGAAACCTGTAAATATTAGTTTTATTATTTAAAATTAAAAGCATACATGTATTATACCCTTTGTGTATTAATCTGTAATACAATAGAACCTTTAATGTTTTTTTTTCTCTCCTGGTTTACCCTTGCTTCATGGGGGCAGCCTTCTTTAAATTCTTTTTGGTCAAATGAATGGCCCATGAAGGTAACCGGAAGTTAGTGCTCATTCAAAAATCAAGATGTCATGAGCATGTGCAGAGCATGTAAAAACTACACTGTTGGTCTTGTTTCCACCAATCAAATTGAGCAAAGTCTTGGTTAGATACTCACCAATGAGGACTTTAAGAAGGCTGCCCCTGCAGACCAAATACACTTATTTGTATGCAGTAATTACAAGATAATGCACATTGAGGCTATAATATACGTAAGATTTATATAAATTTTCTTTTATTTTTTCAATAATCCAGTTTTCCTTTAAGTACCCCTTTGGTGAATATGGCAGTCTATGAATAAACTAACGCTGATTACCAAAAAATTCAATGCATTTTAACATATTGATACATATACCACAAAATTAGCAAAAGCTGCTGGACCGTGCCGAGTTCCCACCTTCATATCTAAACCCGATACAGATTTTCGTGTGCATTGTGGTGATATCGTCTCCTGTCTTCTAGGAAAGTCATCCAGCCAGAAGTATGATGGCTGTGGATACGGATCCTTGGGTAAGAATCTTTCTTGTTTAGAACTTCTGTTTAGAGTGTGTGTTATGTTTGGAACCTGACTGGTAACAGCTATGTAAGAGTTAGGTAGGGGGACATCAATCTGATGCAACATTCTATGTATTTGTTAGTGTGTTTCTCTTTGGTAAGTTGATGTTAGAGCTGTCACAATAATTATGGTATTTACTAACCCTAGTTCTGGTGTTAATAAAAACATTTTTCAGAGAAGCTTTTATAGTGGATGTTCTAGTATTGATTTACTTTTCGTACAGCAGAACACAGTTCAGTAGTGAGTCCTGAAGATTGTACAGACAGCCTCGTGTCTTCAGGGGACGCATCATACAGTTACACAGGTATCTTGGCAAACGTGTGTAAATCCAATGTGTAACATGGGGTCTTGCTGTGTGTATTTATGTATCTTTCACTTCTTTTTACGATTTCATTTGTTTGGTTGCTTTTTAAAAAAAAAAAAAAAAACTTTTGTCCAAAATGTATACCTAGAGATTCTTCTCTGATCATATTTTTATTTATTCTTTCACATGTTCTCATCTGTTATTGTATTGGCTTTCTCATGTATATAGACATGTTCATATATTATGAGCACATGTATGAGTTTTAAAAAATAAATAAATCTATGTTTATATATAATATAGATATCTCTTGCGTGTGTCTGTGTATATGTATGCAGGGTTTGACTAATCTCACTTAGAGTTGTATTGGTGAGTACGTCTTCCGGTCTGCCTGAGATTTGTAGGAGTTACTCTCATGTAACAGCAGTTATTTGCAGTCACTGACATTTTCAACTCGCCTCTCTCCTGTTAGTGACTTGTCGAATAGCTGAAGAGAATCAGGAGAGAGACCGAATTAATGGTGACAAGAACAAATAGTAGCTTCTACCATAGCGTGTAACTCCCAGCAATCTTGGCCGTCCGGGATATGTATGTATCAGTGCTGTCCTAATGCTACAGTAACCCAAACTCTAAACACATCATGTAATCTTTACGGTGAAGCTTGTTTTAGGTGGAAACAATGCCATCTTTGGGTTCTGGCGATTTTTATTTTTTTATTTTTTTTAAAAATCATTTGGCCTTTGGTCTTGTCGTTTATCACGTTAATCCCTTGATGGCATTTTTTTGCGTCTTACTGGAAAATTAAAAACAGGCATTTTGTACATATCACATGTGCTCTCCCTAATATATCATTTCTCATTTTCCAAGGTCAGGAGCATTTCAAACGGCGCCCCATGTACACCCTATACCGGCCCTTGAATTCACAAAGTGGTATTATTTGGGAATTGCTAAACGCTCTCTATTTCAATTTAATAAAAATACATATTTTAAGGCCTGGGACAAATAGTGGCATGGTTTACCTGTAGAGGACTACCAAAATCTGAGTGACCGAGTGTGTTGAGGATCTGACATCTGAATCTTTTTAATGTATTTGGTCAGTCGGCCATCTTGTAAATGAATATACAGTAGTTTATAATCGTCTTATATTGAACAGCACCAATGCAGCAATATATGCGCAGGATAGCATATGTCCACACATTTTGCTGAAGTTACAGCTTTCTTTGATGTGGAAGCCGGAATCTAGGAAATTGTCAGATTTCTCACAGTTACATTAACTTCGTCATCCTTCCTATAGACCTTTTTTACTTATTGACCTATAGAGGTCTGTGCGCTGGAGCGCCCCTCATAGTTTGGGAGATGTGTCAAAGGTTTGGTATTTGAATAAATATTGAAATTCCAACCTACAGATCCAGAACTCCGGTATAGACTATATCTATCTATTTCTATATCACCACTTTCAGAGGTACATCCTAACACTGGGCTCAGTCAACTTAAAAGTAGACAATGAGCCATCAATTGGTCCTCTATTGCTTTTGATTTTAGAGCTCAGTGTCTATCTGTATTATTTTTAGGATTGGGGTGACATTATTGAAATTTGACAGACTAGGATTCTGTAGGAGTGGGTCATCATGGCAGTCATGTGTCACAGAGGTAGTTCATATGGTTGTACAACATGGTTAACTCCAAATCCCACAAAGTGGTGAACCTGTTCTACTGCTTTACCTCTCCAGTGCAGCTAAACCCTATTTATCACTTGTAGTGTGGTCACTAAGGTGCAGCTGATCTCTTTCCCAGGTCATAAATTGTAATGATATACTCTTTAATTTGAGCCGATTAATTGAAAAGTTAATTTCAAATAATGTCATTCTCCATGGCCTGAAACAATCCTTTTGAAATTGGGGAAAGAGTTGAATGTTAGCAATACTTGGGGCATAGGTAAGAGGGGTGCATGTGTATCCCTGGAAAGAATGGACATGATGTGCAACTTTTTAGCTTAAAATGCCCCCGAAAGAAGATTTTTAATTAGAAAGAGCAGGGCTGGGTGCTGCAATCAAGCACATTATAGATATGGTGCCGAATGTTCCATAAACTTTCGGCTTTTTTTTTTTTTTTGTGTGCTGTAAAGCAGGTAAATGAAATACAATCTCTTCTGAGCTGATTGTGTAAAAATAAATAATAGTGTTTAATGGTGGAGAGCCACACTAGGATTAGCAAGGAGAGAAGGTAGTGGAAGGAAAATAAAGTGATGGAGAAATCGAGACAAAGATCGATGGAAATGAGATAAAGAGAATTTACTGTATCAAATGAGGGGCTGAGAATGAAGAATCTGGGTTTTACAAAGGGTAATAAAATAACGAGATACTGATCATGGTACATTTCTCTCCACAGAACGGCCTTTGGATAACTTTGTTTCCCGTCCCCGTCTCGAGTCCCTCAGTTCTGTGGAGGAAGACGATTACGACACACTGACTGACATAGAGTCGGATAAGAATGTTATCAGGACAAAGGTGAGAATTCAGAGGTTTAGAGAATTTTTTTTTCGTGATTTTTGTTTTTTTGTTTTGTTTTGTTGTTTTTTTGGCCTGATATGGGAGATTCACTTTGAATTCGTCACAATTCCCAACGCTTTAGGCAATGTTTTTCATTTGCTTGTTTTATTGTTTCTATATTTTTTTACTTTTTTATTATGTTTTTAGAAATTTCTGAGCGTTGCTGATCTGGCACGAAAAGACAAGCGTGTGATGAGAAAGAAGTATCAGATCTACTTCTGGTGAGTGTGTGCCTGTTTTTATTTTATTTTATTAATACCAAGCACATAATATGCAGTAAAGAACAATAAGTAGATGGAGCCAAATTAGATACACAGTATAGGTGGGGGGTAACCCCTAGTGGAAAATGAGAAAAGCAGAAGAGGGTGTATCTAGTAAATGATGCCAAATATAAGCATCAATGAAAAAATTCCAAGATAGCCAACAAATAGCCTACTGTATAGGCCGGACAAAAACACTGGAATAAAAGAACAAAAATAATAAAGATTTATTAAACAAACAAAAATGTAACCCAAATGAGTGCTACCAAATAAACACCGAAAAAGAAATAATGATAATGAAATCTAGAATGATAACAAGACAAATCTGTAAAGATAAATACAGATTGTCTGAATATAGTAGAGATAAAATATAATTGCAGATCAAAAATATGAAAAAACTTTACTGTCAATAGTGGCTAGGTGGTGTGCCAGACTAAAAAAGCGGAATACCGATCTAATAGATCAATAATCAACTATGGAGTCTGACACTTGGGTATCAATAATAAGCTTATGGATCATGTTGGTCCTATGGGGAAGTGAATGTAAAGCAATATTATGAGGTCTGTCAGAACACCAAACTAACAAATCTGTAATCAACTATGGAGTCTGACACCTAAAATATCAATAATAAGCTTATGGACCATATAGGTCTACTCAGATGAATATAAAGCAATATACAAAACTGTTACTAGCCATAGTGGCTAATGATATGCCACAAATTCAAAAACCCCAACCTAGTGGCTTGACAATTGATTATAAAGTCTGTCACTTAAAATCTCAATAGTGTACTATTGAACTATATAAGTCCTCTAAATATCTGAGACTTTTTATATTAATAGATGAACAGAGCCATAAATATCAGTGAAGAAAAGATGAAATAATGGATAAACATTAAACTGATATCCAGACAATTGTTGGAGTGGCTAAAACAGTAATCAAAATAAAAGGATTCCACTAGTTGACTAAATATAAAGAGTGTATGTATAAATCAGCATCCGTCTTAGAATAACTGCATAAACAGTAAAGCTAACGTTAGAATATCTAGGAGGGATAGAGTAGAAAGAGGAGGAAACACATGTAAATCAAGTTGTAATGGACGGTGCTACAATGTATCATGTAACACATCCACTAATAACGAAAGCTGTTAACCAAATGAGGAAAGGTAACACCCTCTATATGAATATGTGTCCCGTGCCTTCGAGGGCACCTAGTTCCAACCCCCCAGATATCTGTTAATCAGTATGAGGCAAGAAGAGAGTAAAATCTGCACAAATGAACATACGATATGTATTTAAATAAAAAATCAAATATAAGCAGCGCGGTCGCCAGTCTGTGTGCTGCACTAAAGATCCAAAGAGTGCAGCACACCACAGTCCTCTGACGCGTGCGTTTCGCTACAACCTAGCTCGTCAGAGAGGACACTTCCCCATAGGACCAACATGATCCATAAGCTTATTATTGATACCCAAGTGTCAGACTCCATAGTTGATTATTGATCTATTAGATTGGTATTCCGCTTTTTTTAGTCTGGCACACCACCTAGCCACTATTGACAGTAAAGTTTTTTCATATTTTTGATCTGCAATTATATTTTATCTCTACTATATTCAGACAATCTGTATTTATCTTTACAGATTTGTCTTGTTATCATTCTAGATTTCATTATCATTATTTCTTTTTCGGTGTTTATTTGGTAGCACTCATTTGGGTTACATTTTTGTTTGTTTAAGAAATCTTTTATTATTTTTGTTCTTTTATTCCAGTGTTTTTGTCCGGCCTATACAGTAGGCTATTTGTTGGCTATCTTGGAATTTTTTCATTGATGCTTATATTTGGCATCATTTACTAGATACACCCTCTTCTGCTTTTCTCATAATATGCAGTATTATACATTTTTTCCATCAATCATGGTCATGTATACTTTATGCACATATTACTAAAAACCGGGTCTGTATACATTGTGCACCCACTATTATAATCCAGGTCTGTATATTATGTATGGTCCTATTATAAACCAGTCCTGTTATTAATTGTCAGCATTGAGGCCTCCTATATAATGGTACATGCATGCTGTGTGTTTATTTTGTTTGTTGCTTTTTGTCATCTTATAACGTCATTTGTTTGTTGTTTGGCGTGTAATTACATTTCTATTTACCCGGCTCCTGTTTTCCTCTACAGGAATATTTTCACTATTGCAGTGTTCTATTCGCTTCCCGTTGTGCAGCTCGTCATTACCTATCAGACGGTGAGATCATACACCTGGCCGTGTGCATGTTCCTTAACATATAGATACGTGCATTGACTCACCATAGACATTCTAATTAACCACCACGGTCTCTTCTCGCTGCAGGTTGTGAATGTAACTGGCAATCAGGACATCTGCTACTACAACTTCCTCTGTGCTCATCCTCTTGGATCCCTCAGGTACACAGATCACCCTAACATAGTCATCTCACAGAGACAGCCTGACGTCCTGTGCCACGTGGCGGAGGCCTGATGTCCTTAAAATGAGCAGCAGTGATGTAAAACTCCTCTTAGATGGATCTGATCTGGCAAGCCTTCTAAGCTCTAGTCTGTTCTCACCAAGAGGGTCTTCCGTGCATTGCATATTTTAGTTTTGCAACTAGTCTAAATAGGTTCCTAGATGTAGACCCCTTGCTCATTGTATTATTGAGGGATTTTGACTCATTGAAGAGGCTTGCGCGAAGCTGTAACAATCATCTGAGTTTACTGTATTTCTTGCAGTGACTTGACTTTTCTGGTCTGGTCTACCCTTATTCCTGGGGTCTGTCATTTCAAGATATCCTCTGTAATGGAACACATTTTGAGATGCTCCTTAGTAACCGTTACATTTAATCCACACTTTTAATCTTTCTTGCAGTGTGTTACACATGGGTTTGAATTATGTACCAAATAGGGTAAGAGCGTTTGCAGCAGCATTGAGAATCAGAAAGAAAAATGTGCTACGAAATCACTTGTCGTATATTCAGAATAGACCTCCTATCCCACGCCAATCCTCTCCTTCATTTTTCATTGTTGTACCATCTATCTCCATTCCCTCCTATAAGACAAAACATGCTTTTTGCTCTTCAATTCATCATCCTTTTCTTATTTCCATTCTTCTCACAGTGCCTTCAACAACATCCTTAGTAATCTGGGATACGTACTGCTGGGGCTACTCTTCCTCATCATCGTATTGCAGAGAGAGCTGAGCCATAACCGCGGGCGCATGTTTAATCGGGACCATCTGGAGGTAAGATACTGTATGTTGGGTATCCGAGAAATACAAAAAGGGACATTTAAATACAAGGATTGCTGAGAGAATTTGGAATCTGAATGTGAGAGATCATAATAGAATGTGGCGTCTGCTCGCAATCACGGTGTTAGAAACTTAGGGATGTATCAAGCAGCGAGAATGGAGTGTAAAATAGGTTATTCACTAAACTTGTCATGAATTGATATGTGGGTTTTTAATTTTTGGAAATACACAAAATTTGAAAACTCCTTGTGAATTTCTGACCGTTTTAGCGAGATGCTCACTAGAAGCAAATTGCAGATTTTAGGTTTCAATTGTGAAGTCTTCTTATCCCCATTTGTTTTGTAGGAATGTGGGATCCCCAAACATTTTGGTCTGTTCTATGCCATGGGCACGGCTCTTATGATGGAGGGTCTGCTGAGTGCCTGTTATCACGTGTGCCCAAACTACACCAACTTCCAATTCGGTGAGTTCCCATATCACGTTACCTAAATGTCACTATCCTAGCCTCATTATTCTCTACTCTCCATCATACAATACCTGTCAAAAAACGCAGTGTGCTTGCTGCAAGCTAGTTTTGTCACTGACCGTGTTTTACATTTTATAATTCTTATAAAAAAGTTTACATCTTAAAAGTATAAAACCTATGAAAAAAATATTTAAGATCTCTCCTATGAAGAACAAATCAGAAGAGACAGGCAAGAGAATGACCAAGCCCTTCAGATAATACTCACTAGCTTATTTACTAAAGTAAGAATTGTCAGGAATTCAACGTGAATTTTACATTTAAGGATACAATAGCTGACTTGGAAACAAATCTTCAATTCAACTATGCTTCCAGTTTAACTTTTTGAGTCTAAAATTTTAAATTCACGTTGAATTCCCTACATTTCTCTCCTTCGTAAATAACCCTATAAGTGTTCTTCAAGTCCTTAGGATGGCAAGCAAAAAATCTCTGCCCAAATAGTCACAATCCTATCAGGATGGACAAATCTTTAAAGCCAGGATGACTTTTCAAGGATTTTTTTCCCTGTTTCAACAGCAAAGCCACCCGAGACCACGGTTCTAAACTGCAAAGCAGCACAACTTTTCAGTGGCTGTGCATATTTGTATTTCCCCATATTTAAGTGTTCTTGCATAGCAAGACCACTTAATGTTATCTCACATTATATATTATTCTTATTCTTATTCTTATTATAGCCAAATTTACCACCCTAACTCCTCCCACAGTTTTTACACTACAATGTAAGTCTGGGTCTTGTGATTCTCACAATATAAAGCTCTTCATTGTAGGATTTATAGTTTTTAAAATACGACCGTTTGAAGATGGCAACCGCCAAAATACTCTGACCTGTGTCAGGCTGCAGCAGCAAGTGATGTCATAGACAGGGCCTTTTGAACACCTGCTAATATTTTTTATAAATGAATGGTTTAATGTAACTGTGCAACAACGTTGCAATTAAATGTGCTATGTAAATGATAACAGTTACTCCGCCCACTCCAGTTGTAGACTACTGGTGGAGGCAAGAACACTTCACACAATTTCCCCAGAAATTGTAGCATTTTTAGTTGTATTTACCCTGTCATTCTGATTCCTCCCAGGTGCTCTGTTATTGTTTGTGTTTACTTTGTATCTCTCTATTAGACACTTCCTTTATGTACATGATTGCTGGACTCTGTATGCTGAAGTTGTATCAGAAAAGACACCCAGATATTAACGCCAGTGCGTACAGTGCCTACGCGTGCCTCGCTATTGTCATCTTCTTCTCCGTCCTCGGCGTGGTGAGTCATAGCTCCCGTTAGTTGTGATACTACTGTCACCGTAGAGGGTTATACAGAGAATTGATGGGCAGGGAAGGAGAATTACAATATTTTAATTGGCTTGTTTTGTAAAATATACATTTTTACAAGTGGTTCTTCCAGCTCGGTGGTGAGGATGATCTTTTAGGCTCTTGAAAATGACACTAAAAGATGTTAGACATAACACGTGCGCTATAAACCGTCACTTTACGCACCACAAGTTCTGCTCATGGTGGTCTGTTCACAGCTGACTCTTTCATGTGAATGTTTCAGCGGCTTTGGAAACTTAAGTGTTTTATGGTCATGAAGCAAGGAAGAATAAGTGAGTTATGAAAAGAGATAAAATGATGGCTTATTGGTTAACATAGTTTGCATGACATTTTGTTTGATATCATTTAAATAAAAGCAGTAAAGAACAATATAACATAAAATCTAAACAAACCAACTGTACATGCTCTCTTTTGGTAATTGTGTAAATCAGCACGAAAATTGAAGTACGTCACCGCGGTATAATATGTTAGATGTACTATCGAGAGGTGGTGGGATATATCGGTATGTCCCGTATGAAAAGGATTGCCTTATATTACTATGGGGGGTTGGCCCACTAGAAGTATAAATACCAATCTGTGAACTCAAAATTGAGTTTAATTTCGGGCTTGGTGGAACTGTCTGGTGAGTTGATATAAGGTTGCAAGTTGATAAACAATTTTTTCGTTAAAGTGCTTTTATTGTGCGAGGCCTCTATCCAGTCCATATGGAATAGGAAGGATATTTTTTTTAGAAAATTTATTTGTGGGGGTCTTGGCTAATCCTGTGATGCTTATCGTTGCCTTGGGCAAGATCATA